TATGATTTCGCTGATTAGCTTATTTTATTTCGCTGTTATATTACCTCACAAACAAATTTAAAGCCAAACAAGATACAGCGCTAAAAGTGTGGATTAACTCTCCGATATGAAACCTAATTTAAGATTATTGATGAAAAATTCCATTCTTTTTAAATGTTTTCAAAATAAAAGACGTATGTTCACAATTGTTTTTATATATTTTATTTCATTTTGTGTTCACATACTTCGTTATTTATTATGTCGGCGTTTCGCTGAAAAAAGTTCAATCGTTTACGGTCCCACAGCTGAAAGAAATTAGGAACCGCTGACCTAGATAATCTGTAGAATAACAGAAGTAGTTCAGTTTACATTTACATTTTATAATATTTTCATTTATTAAATTACGCTTCATGAAATGTAATAATGACATATCTATTATAATTATTATATTTTATTAAATATAATAATTACATTTTATAAGATATAGTTATACATTTTATAAAATGCATCTTAAAAAATACAATTTTAATATGGAACGGTACTTGAAAACTATCATTGAAGTACTGATAAAAAGAATTTAGCAGTTAATTTGGTAAAGCTTGCTTTCCAAATTATTTTGAACAAAAAGTGTAAAATTCAAGGAAAATGTCGATATAATCTTCGTCATATTTTAGGATAATCTAAATAGATGACATAAGTTTCTCGATAATTATGGAGGAATAGGGAAAGATTTACTCGCTCATTTCGGTTCAAAATAATTTATAATTGGTTATCCCATACTTAATCATTCGAGGAAGCAGTTGAAACAGGTTGCATTAGTTTGAGAGGCTGTAATAGAACCGGTTCCAATACTATTATCAAGTGCAACATTTTATTAACGAAAAGTGAAAAAGAAATAAGTAAAAAATGAATAAAAATAAATAAATAGTAAAGGAAGATTGAAGCAATAATGAAACAAGTTGCATTAATATTGAGAGACCGTAATAGCCGTTTCAATACTTTCATCTAGTGTAAGATTTTATTTATGAAAAATAATAAAAATTATCTATAAAAAATTGGCAACAATAAATAATAAATGAAAATAATAGATAAAATTCAAAATAATAAAAGAAACTACAGAAAAAGTTTGATATAACGAGTGCGGCATACTGTGAGAAGTTCGGTATTTACGGCAAATTTCTAAGTCAACGTCAAAATGTATCAAATGAAATATTTTAATAAAGAATAATAATATAATATAATTTGATGCATTTTTGTATCAAAGATATAAAAATTGTATGTTTATGAAGAGTATAGACTTCTACTTACGACAATTCCTTTCTTCCTTTTTTTTGGGGGGGGGGATATATAATTTTATTATTATATGATGATTATTGAATGTTATTCTTAAAAGCATTAATTTTGTTTGAGAGGTTTACTCAAAATCAGCAATCAAGAATTAGCAATATTTTTCGCTTTGCCCTAGGTCAGTGTTTCCCAAACTTAGGACTTTTGCATACCCTTTCTAAATTTTTCGTAACGCTGAGTACCACTAATTAAAAAAAATGTATTTTTTACTATAAAAAAATTGCACAAAAGTTAAAAATCTCAACTGGCTCCTGACACCACTAATTATTAACTGTTAACTCTGCAAAAAATAGCCAATAGAAAAATATGTAATCGTAAATTTTCATGGCTGGATTTGTTTGAAAAAAAAAATTTTTTTTTTCTTTTAATTTTCGTTTTTTGCAAGATAATTCACATGAGAACGCGTACCGACGCTAATTTGTTCCAGTACCCCTGGGGGTATGCGTACCACACTTTGGGAAACACTGCCCTAGAGGAGAAAAAAAACGTTGTCTTCACTTTCCAAGCATTCGTGAACTGTAAATGTTACTCCAAATAAATATTTTAAATATGAAGGTTTCAGAGCATCAAATTATGCTTTCAGAAGACACCAAGTTTTAAAATTTGATCACTTAAACAAGCAAACAAAATTTTTTTTAATCACAATTCTAGTTCTCGCAGATTGTTAGAAGAATCAGATTGGTTTTCTGTTTTCAGTATAGGATTAGCTCGAGAAAGTACAATTCCATGCAATAAAATAACTTTAAGTAAATACTTTTTTTATTTTTTGTTATTTAATTTAAAAATAGTCGAAAAAAATTTAAATTGTAAGGTATAAAACTTTTGACATCATTTTAAAGAAAGTAATTTTACAAGGCCAAAAAAAAAAAAAAAAAAAAAAAAAAAAAAAAAAAAAAAAAAAAAAAAAAAAAAAAAAATGAAATGAAATTTAAGTCAAATAGTTCCCGTGAAATCAAATTTTAGAATAGTCTTATAGTTAGAATTTGATTTCTCCGGAAATATTCGACCGACTTTGCTCATATTTTGTATTTCACTATGCAGAGTTACAATATTTGAAATGATCTAAAAAGTCCTTACAATTAATATTTTTTTAGATTATTATTAAATAAAATAATATAAATAAATATATATTTACTAAAAGATATTTTTTCCATTGAATTATACTTTATCTATTTTGAATAAAGGAATTTTAAAATTGTGTGCAAAAATGTTTCGCTTAAAAAGTCTTAGAGATGCATATGAAATATGCATCTCTAAGATGAAATATGCAAAATGATATATGCAGTTGAAATATGCAAAAAGTGAAATTAATAATAGGGGATCCCTGTAGTAAGTAAGAGTAAAATTAATATTACCCTATATTTTGAGGATCAGAAATCCTAATCCTTTGGGAGAAAAAAGGTATGTTTATTTAGAGAAAATACGTTTTTTTTTGTTTGATTTTGTAACTTAAAATATCGTCCGCACTAATTAATTAGCATATTTGAAGCCAAACCTTCGAACCAATAAGATTGAATCCTAGAACGTGAATATCCGATCATCACATAAAAAATTAGTCGAAATGGTCCGTTTTTTTTTCCTTCCTTTTTTTTCTGCATTGTGCTTTCATATTTTTGAAGTAAATATAATTTAATGTTTCAATGACGGATCAGCGGCCATTGCTTCTTTTTAATTTTATTATGTAGTATTTACAATTTGTAAGTAATTATTTAAATTGTGAGCTTCGGAATGTTTTTAATTGCTCACTTCCTTCAAAGGCAGTTAAAAGCTGTCTGGCTCAGAGTTGGCGAGAGCGTCGGGACTTTTTGACGCGCATGCGCCAAGAACTAGCATAAATAAAAGAATAAGAAGTTTAATGTTTGCATTCTATTTTAAATTTTTTATAAATAAATCGTAATTTTGTAATAATTTATCCTGGTCTAAACATTCATTATCCTGGTCTAAACAAACATTAGACAAAAAATTTGAATCTATTTATTTCAAATTTTTTGTTTTATTATTTTGTTTTTTACCATTATTATTTTTTTTTGTTTGTTTTTCTTTTTAAATTCTTTTTACTAAGATTTTCTGTGTAAAAATCATTGCCAAAAGTAAATATTTCCTCTAAAATATAGAAATAAGATATTCTAAAAGTTATCTAATGAGCAGATTAATTAGAGTGATCCATTAACCTTTTAACTGTCAAGTAATTTTGATGACTTTGGTAAACTTTTTTTTCGGTTACTGGCAGGCACTTGGGTCTTTTCCCATTGCTACTCTCTTATCGTTATCCAGTGGGCACCTATGGCTAAGCCACGGCGGTGAGGAAGCGTCGCCCACGTCATACATCCACAAACCTGTTTATAGGGCGGGTTACATTCACAAATCACACAGGAGAAAGGACATAGAACACAGAGAAAGAGACATCCATGCCCTGAGCGGGATTCGAACCCGCAACCATTCGAATCCGCAGTCAGGCACGCTAACCACTCGGCCACCTGGTCGGCTAATTTTGGTACATAAATCGGTAATTTGGTAACATTTTTTTATTCCAAAAATTAAATGCTTAGTGCAAAATAAAATATACTTAGTAGTTAAAAATTGATATTTTGAATAACACGCATGAAAATTTTAAGGTTTTGTATCCACTGCATATTTGCTTGAGACGGCTGCCCCTCTACGTGGCAGTGGTAAAATTCGCTTCGAGTGGAGCATCATTTTCTAAAAATGAAAAAAAAAATTATTTATTCATTTTAAAAAAATCAACTATATAACGTTTCAAAGAACTGGATCCACTTTGCAACAAAAAAATGCCGCACTTTTTGAATATAAACCTCTATCCTTTAAAACCTTCAGTTAAGTGCTGCCATCTATTGTTCTAAATTGCATCCAAATTACCTTTTCCCGAGATAGATTCGGGTTTGACAAAGAGATGAAGCAGAAATAAACTTCTACCGATATATATTCGGGTATAAGCAATATGATACACTGAAAAAAAATCCCAGAGTAACACAATACTCGGGTGTGACATTGGAACACCAGTGCGGGCATGATAGTTAAAAGTTTAAAGAGCCAGAAAAATATTTTCATTTCTCAAGTTAAGTAGGTAATTTACAAATTATTTAGATTATCTGCACATTGCCCATTAGATACACTTTAATAAATAAAATACTTGAAAATAAGGTAAACTTTTTTGTACGCTCAAATTAACACGATATTATTCGTTTATTTTTCGATATCTAAAAAATCCATTTCCTACAATCCAATAAGCAGCACATTAGTTGATAGAATCAGTTCTTAATCACTTTATAAAGTATAATACCAAGATTCAAATGGCTTTAAAACATTTTTACAGTGAAGGAAATCAACATTATGTCAACTTTTTCTCGATGTCTAAAAATCAAGTAAATGCAATCAACAAATTTGCTGATAGAATAAGTAAAACTATCTTTTGAACTTAAACGATACAAAATTGTTAATGCGTACATTACTTAAGTGAATTGCGAAAAACTCATGATTCCGCATTTTAACTTTATCACCCAGATAAACTGTAGATTAGCTCGGTAATATATATTAACGGCTTTCGTGCTTTAGAGGTAGCACTTATAATTCTGTTGTGATATATAAAAGCAGATGGAATTATTTTTTGAATACCAATAATTATTATTATTTCTTTATTTTTTTTCTCTTTTAAGCAACAACATCGGAAAAGTTCCATCTTTTACTGAACAATGTTATATAACAGCTAAGAATATTTCAAAATGAGTGGTCACGTTGGAAATCTTAGTCCGGCCCAAGATCATGCTCTCAAGCAGGTGAGACTTTTATATGGGGAGTGCTCCTCCTCCCTTTACATATATTTTTAGTAGGGGAACGTGGGGTATAACTGGTTTGCCACGATTCGAAGGAATGTTGGAGCTAAATTGTTTGACCTAAAAACTGTCAGAATCAATTAAAATATTCATAGTTTTGTTGTGTACAAAATATATGTCATGAAAAGTCATTGATGTACTACTGCTATTTTTATAAAAAAAAATTTCTAGAAAAAGTCAAATCATCCGATCTTACCCGTGGGGTAAAATCGGCTTCACATATTATTTCTATGGAAAATTTAGAAATACTGGAGTTTCAGTGAAAACAATAGCAGACATTTCTGTTTCATATGATAATTTAAGAAGATTAAGTAATTTATTTGTGATGTAGTCAAAGCCGTACTCTAGGACGGAAGCGAGAGAGAGACAATTGTCCTGGGGCCCTGGACTGCGAAAGACCCGACTGAAATTCCTCACAAAAATATAGAGCTTTAGTTTTTTCTTCTTCTTTTTTTTTGGTTAGAAAAAATTGCAGAGAATTTCTTTATATCTTCATAAAAACTACGATTTTGAATAAAAGGTCTTCAAAAATTCTACAAAATAGGAAAATAAAGCTTCTTGTGCTTTAAAGAAGGGACTAACATAATTTTTGTCCCGTGGCTCATAAAACCTTTGTTCAGCCTAGGATATCGTTTTCTTCTTCCTTTGTTGCACAACAGCTTTCGTGGGCCAGCATTGACATGCCCTGCATTACCCCGAAAGGTTATCGATACCAAACAGAAGAGTGCTACCTTATTGTTTGCGGACGTATGGATCTTTTGCAAACGTATAATAAGCTGGACGTAAAAATAATATTTGCAACTCTAATGACCAATAAATCAGAATAGCTAAAAAACAAGATAACATTAGAGATTTGACATAGTAAAACAAACTTATCAAAACACTCTAGTATGATAATTCCTCCTTAACTGGTAAATTGTAATTCAGAGTTTATCAGCTAAAAAACAGAACTAATTTCCACACAATGGAAGTAATCGGTCCTACCCCTCTGTCCCTTTCATTATTCTACTATAGATATATGGAAATCCATGTCAATTTATTTTTTATATTTCAGTTTAAAGCTGCGCTATCTGATGTGTTGAAGCCAAAGCATGATGATCATCTTTTGCTACAGTTTTTGAGAGGTAATAAAAAATGAAATGATCTAANATCGCCTACAAAGATGTTCACGTGGTTCGCGTGGAAAAATTATAAAAAGTATCTATATATATATATATATATATATATATTATTATTATTATTATTATTATTATCAGCAGAAATTAGGTTGAATATTCAATAACTTCCAGAGTGAAGGAATGATCCAGAGTGCAAAAAGGAATGAGGGGGGAGGGTATAGGGGCTCTCTCCAATAATTTTCTAGCAATTTTAGAATTCTTTAAAGTTATTTCTTTCTTAACTCCCCCCTCCAATAAAAGCTATTTATAATTTAAAAGTAAAAATTAAAAAAAAAATATTAAAAGGAAAATTTTTAGACAGGTTCAAAATTTATTGAAATAATTTTATGATTATCCCTTTTACGAAAGCGGTTGCTTAGAATATATTGAATGACTTTTTTTCGAAAGAAAAAAATATTGCTGCAGGTCGAATTCAACTATTTAATGTAACAAAATTTAGGTAACATATTTGTTATTTTGTAATTGTTTTGAATAGTTATTGTTTTATAAATTTTGTTTATTCATTTTTTTCCTACAAAAGGTTTTTAGAATCATTTGTTTCATAGTGGCAAAAAAATAGCAGTATGTGTCGAACTCGAAATTTATGTTTAGATATGTTTCCAGCTATGTTTAATATCCTTACAAAAATTAAGTTGCAAATAATATATACAGTCGGACCTCTATTTAACGAAGTCGCTAAATCCCGATAATAAGTTCGTTATATGGAAAATTCGTTAAATAGAAAATCACCTTTTGAAATACTTAAACAGCGCAAAACAAGTTTTAAATTCATAAGCACTAGGCATAATTGAAATAGCTATTGATACACCTTTTTCTTGTAAACTAGTATCTACTTTTTATTTTATAAATAGTAGATACTAGTTTAAAAGAAATCGCATAGAAAGCAAGAATAGAGCAAAACATTATCTAGTGTTACACAATCATGCTACATATATTTTCAACTAAAAAAAGCTAAATTTATGTGTGAAATTATAGCTGCATTTATTATAAAAGTAATTTTAAACATACATTAGCGCATGCGTTCTTAAGTTACTGATAAATTCCGTTAATTTTGTTTGAGTTTTTCGTTTGAAATGCTAACAAAAAGGTATTTCACTGCTCTCTCTAAAAGTTAGCAGCTTCGAAAATCAATTCAAGGTCATTTCTCCCTTAAAATGGGTTAACAAGTTTGAAATGTTCTGAAATATTTTGGGAAAGTGGATCTCAAAGAAAAGTTCGTTAAATGGAAAATTCACCTCGCTATTTGGAAATTTTTTTTCAAAAAAATTTCCAAAATGTTCTTGGTTCCGCGAAAAAAGAAATCGCAAAATGAAAGTTCGTTAAATAGAAATCCGACTGTATATCTTAAAATACATGAAATTTCTTTTTGTTTTAGGTCAATCTTGAAATGAACTTGTTTTGGGCACAGCTCGAATGCTTCGTTTCAATGTTTAAAGAGTAAATCCGTGTTTATAATACCTCTTTTTAAGCAGTACTTCAATAAATGAGAAAAAGTAGGAACCCATCAGAAGAAACATGAGTCAAACGGGATTAAATTTAGCAAAATATTCTTATTGATTTCTTTCAGATTATCATTTAAAAGTATTGTGTTTATCATTAGTAATATAAATATGTTAGTTGCAAATGAATAAGCTAAATTGGAATATCCAATTCATTAAATAAGTGCACATTAAATGACGGCACTAAAAAACAACCATTACGAAGCAAAAATAGCACAAGATGGTTGAGTACATTACAAATGTTTTGAGTTACTAAATAAGAAGAAATCAGTTTCGTTTAAACCACCGAAAACCACTCCCAAGGGATCGAAAGATTGTCACGATTATAAATAAAACATTGTCTTCTCAGTATTACTGATTTTATGGAATTTTAACCTTTTTTTATAGGTCTCTTATAAAAGGAGGGTAGAATTTTCTTAAAAAGCCGTTGATTAAAGAGTTATATTAAAAAAATGTATAAAGTGATATATGCGTTGCAAGTTTAATGCAAATTTAAATAATTCTGTAAAAAATAAATAATAATTATCGGTTTGAAAAATGACTATTCGTTTAACATCCGCGTTTATTTTTTAATCATGTATTTTGAGCAGTGGTGCTAGTTTTTAAAACTCGCTTTTCATGAATTTTTTTACTTTCTTAAAAAGACTGTTTGTGCTACAACCATTTTTAGAAAAATCTGGTTTGATTGTGTAAATCTGATTTATCCTTGAAATTTCTTAACACTTTGGGAAATATTGTTTTCAGTAATTACTAAGTACAATTTTACATATTTTTCATAAGTATTCAATTTTCTTTTTGTTTTCAATTTCAGCAAGACGCTTTGATTTAAAAAAGGCAGAAGAAATGTTTCGAAGGGTAAGAATGTTTTTAATTTTTTGGGTCGGCGTAATTTGGGTTTTTAAGTGACCGTAATCAATTCAAAGAAATTGATTTGACTCAATTTCAAACAAATATCAATTGTTTAATAGAAAAATTTTTTAAATAGTGATTAAATTTTGTCATTGAAAATTTAAAGATCGAAATTTTTAAACAAACAATACATTTTATAAATTACTTCAAACAAACTATACAGTCAATAAAATTTGAGCAACTATTTAGCATGCTTCATATTTTTTAAGAACATATTAATACGTTGAATGCCATTGGGGGCACCGGGGACCGGCACTGGTTTTGTTCGTAGCGCCACTGGGGTGACCGGTGACCGGCGAAGCCCAGATTATTAGAAACACATAATTCGAGTAAATTTTTAATTTTATAATATTATTATCGTTACTAAAATGGTTTGAAGAAATTAATGCAATAAAGAACACACAAAAATAGTTTATTTATATACACAGAGATGCCAACTTGCTCCGGAAAGCGAATAAATATTTTCAAGTGGTAGTTTATTAATTGTGATTTTTGGTTTAATAAATTCAATTTAGTAGATTTTTATCCATCACTATTTCTAAACAATTCGTAGGCTTATATAATTCACCAATTTTTTTAGATATGTCATGCTAAACCTTTTAAAAAAATAGCAAAATCTGTCAAATACTTGAAAATTTAGTTTGTCGTTTTGTAGTTATTTACAGTTGTGGTCAGACGGGCAAGCTATGTAAAATTAACGTGGCAATCAACGTGTTGACAAAAATCTTTTTAAGTTTCAGTCGCAATATTGAATGATTTTTAGAAAGTGCCTGGTTCAAGTCTACTGAAAACAGTAACGTGGATATGCTTAAGTTAGATATAAAACATTGAAAAATTCTCATTAGACAATAGTAGACTCGTTAGACAATTCTCATTAGACAACATTTCTGTATAGTGACCATTTCTTTGTTTCAGCAAGAGTTGTATTAAAATTTTTTAAATTAATTAGTATGCAGGAATGAATTATTTCAGAACAGATTATGAATATCTAAGTAAAGCTATTGCTTTTAATGTTTTTTATTTAATTAAGAATTTTTTACTTTTTCTGATTGGTCATAAGAAAGGGGGCAATTTCTAACTAAACATCAGACGTAAACAGTTCTGCATGTTCCCCTCCACTAGTACTGTCATTAATTTTTTCATAGCAATTTTCTAAATTGGACAAAAAAATAAAATATATTATATTATCAACGATATTTTTATTATTTATTCATCGTACGATTATATTTTCATTCGTTATACATGTTGTTAAGTCAATTTTAGGATGTAGTTTAAAATAAAAATATAGTTTTTTTTAATTTCACATAAAAATATAGTATTAAAGTCATTAGCTGTGGGAAAGAAATGTAAATAGAGAGCTGTCGGGGATTGGAAAACGATAACTAGAAAAGGCCGCTAGTTATGGAAATAATAGATTGTTTGTTATCCTTGGTGGAGGATAAATGTCTTAAAAATTATCAGTTTTATTTTTGTTGTTATGAAAATAAAATAATTTTTTCTCTCTTTAATTTAGCATCTCGTATTTCGTCAAGAATTTGATGAAGAATATTTAGTGAATGAATATATTCCACCTGAGGTAAGGAGATTCTCCCTAGTGATTGTCTGTATTGTTTTTTGTTACACAATCAATTAAAAACGTATACACAAAAGTTGGAGCATCCCTCTTCATTGTATTTCCATAACAAAAGGGTTTCAAAAGACGTTTGGGTTATTTTGATACATACATATATTATATATATATATTGAAATATTGAAAGCTTTTACAATTTTTATTTTATTCTTGTTATTTCTGTGCCTTCATGTTGAAGAGTGGTCAATAGATTAAAAAGTGAAATTGGCTAAAAGTTGAGTTAGTCAGAAAATGCACAATATTTTACATGACGATAAGCTCCTGGAGATTATAATTCACGATATGGCTTACATAATTGGTGACAGAGCAATAAATTCTGCTTATAGGGGTAACGAAATACGTAAAGCTCGTATTGTGCCGAGAAATTGAAAACAACAACGTAAATACTTTCCAATTTCGAGAAAAGCGTCTTGGCAACTGTTTTCTTTCTCTTGTAAATACAATCAGTACTGAAATAGAATTTCAGGAAACTTATAAAAAATACTCATTTTTGAAGAAAGAAATTATTTTCAATATGTAGTTTATCATAATATATACTGGTTATCATAAATTAAGGAAGAATTTTAAAAATAGCTATCATAATAACTATATATAATAACTATCTCAAAAATAAGTCAATCTCAATGAAATTTGAATATGTTGTCAAATAAGTGTTGCTAAGAAAAAGGACAATATGTAAATTAGTGGTACTGCAATGGAAAGACGTCACATGCAATAAGCATAAAATTGTATATTTGATCGCAAGCTTGAAAATTGCGCCGTGTTTTTAAAATTGAAATTTAAGATAGCCACTTTGTAATTATGGTCTCCTGGTATTATTTGTTCGAGGAACTGTGATGAAGATTTATTGGAGGACTAGAAGTAGGACAAATTCAGATAAAAGTGGCTAGACTGTTAAATGTGAGTCCTTCTGTGGTTCACAGACTTTGGCAACAATTTCTAACCACAGGTTCGGCACCTATAGAAGGTTCCGTCAAGAATGGCCAAATGCTACAACGAGCGCGATCTCCGAATTTTATCGTCATGTGCACAAAGGAATAGAAATGCAACTCCAGGTCAGCTCAGATAATCTCTTTGTGCAGCCACCGGATGATTGGTGACAACATCAGATGTGGTTAGAAAGCTTCAGGAACGTGGATTGTTTGCTAGGCCATCAGCCAGTTGCCTGCCACTCTCAACACGCCATAGAAGGAAACGTTTGATGTTGCTGCAGCAATATGTCCACTGGATGGCTGACCAATAGATCCCTGTTCTCTTCATAGATGAGTCCAAGTTCAGCCTCCAAGGCGATAGTAGGCTTTGTTTGATTTGGAAAGAACCTAGAACCCAATATCATCCGTGAAAGAGATTCATACCTAAAAAGCAGTGTTTGCATGTGGAATCTCTTTGGGTGGATGCACAAACATGCATGTTTTTCCACGTGTAACCATGAATGCTTACGTGTATAAAGATAATTCTTGATCATCTCTATACACGTGATCCATGATGATTTGACATCCTTGATGTTTATGTGCGCTCTTATGCTGAAGCAAAAGATGATGATTTCCTGCTACAGGACGATAACGCAACACCACGCAGGGCTCGCATCGTGGATGATTATCTTCAGCAGCAAACAATTCAGCTCATGGAGTGATCAACTTGATCACCGGGCCTGAATCATATCGAGCACGTCTGGGATGCTTCAGGTAGAATTGTAGCTGTTCTCAATTCTCCTCCTCAGACCTTTGCCACGCTCACAAATGCTTTGCAAGAACAATAACTCACACAATAGAAAGCATCACACATCGCTGTGTGTGCTGCATTGCTCCTAGATGTGACTATACTTCATACTGAAGGTACTTTTTCTATTCCAAACAGACGCTTCTGATTCATTCATTTCATACATATGCTAATTTTTGTAACACCTTAATTGTCAGGTCAATACTTTTTATGTCATTTTATCACAGACAGGCATGCTGACTGCTCGGCCATCTGGCCGTTCCCTTAATTTATGATAAACAGTGTATAAAAAAACCTCGATTTAGTTGGAGCTCTGAGCTTATTGAAGTTATTAGAGAATTTATAGCATTAACGATAAGTCGTTGATGACAAGAACAGATCTGCGATGAATATGACAACAAGATCGCAGTCAGGGATGTGATATAATAGAAACCTATCTCTGCTTAATTGGTATCTGTCATACGATCATAAAAGTTTTATATAGACGAGGGTATAGGCGGAATTAATGAATCTACATTTTTTGAACATATTTCTTTACTATTCGCATGATAGAAATGAACTTTTTCTTTCAGATCCTATTTAAACATCTGTTACCTCCTCTATTGGGCTATGATAAAGGCGGATCACCCATTCGAATCGTCAAAGTTGGCACCACTGATGTGAAAGGTATTATTAAAACTCACTATTGCTTATCAGAATGCTACTGGAGGGCAAATATGTTACAAGAGACAAAGATAAAATCTTTAGACGACGCAAACCTTTGTCAAAAATAACTTCCCACATAAAGAATACTAACTATAATTTTTATTTATTTTGAGTGTAACTATAATTTTATTTGATCCAACTCTTCTTAAAATTCAGCCTAATGAATAGTCGTTCAATTTCACGTGCTCATTCATTAGCCTTCATGTCATCTCCACAATGATTTTAATTATGAGTGTGAATTCTATCTGTGTAATAAGTTGCTTAAATTACAAAATAAAGTGATTAGACCATGTGTGGATAAGAATTATAATTGAAGATTATATGTAAAGGCCGAGCGTCCCGCAGTGAACTGATCGTTAAGACACGGCTCCCATCAGATCACCGAAGTTAAGCATCACTGGCTGTGATCAGTGTGTGGGTGGGCGACCACTTGGATCTGTCTGCGTAAGGACCGAGGATGAGCGGCATTGGTCCTTGTTAAACTGTTCTACCGTAAAGTGCTCGACTTTACGTGCAGGTCGTCGGGCTACCGAAGCGGGGGTGCCATCCACTCTGCAGAGGATCAAAATTGTGGTGGCATGTCCTTAGAGATGTTTCCAAGACTGTCACCAATAGCCCATTGTGCAGCTCTAGTGCGACGTAAATGAACTACAACAGTTACAACAAGTAAAGGCAGAGCTTTATATCATACGGGGCTCCGGAACCTGGGCCTTATTGATTAATCTTTTATTTCTATGTTTTGTGAAGCATCATTAGTTTAATTAATTATTACAAATTACTTTAATGTACAAGTAATTTTTCAGTCTTTACGCTTATGCTGTATTTATATGAATATAATAAGAATTCGATTTTCTTAGTTATTTTCAAAACTATTATTAGTATTCTATGTTAGATTCATAATTTAGAATTTCTTTATAGTAGAAAGAGCAATAGTGTATATACAACCTTTATATATTTAAAAAATATATACAGATTTTGACAAAATTTTATTTTTTTTCTTTATTGAGTCTTTTTGAAATTGCAAATTAAAAATAGCTCAATTTAAAATAACTGAATTCTAATTAGGACACTATACCGAAGTTCACGTTCTGGGGCCTAGTTCACCGAATTCGGGCCACATGTAAAAAGTTTTGATTTGAAAACTTTTTATCATAGAGCCACTTCAAGAGTAAAATAGAATCGATTGTTGTTAACTTAAATATACTATAGCACTAAAAAGACTTTCGATAAAGTATATGTAGGTATCGATCATTTATGTCTATATCTTTATTTCAACATACGGTTCAGATTATAATTTCGTAAAAGGTGCTAAAAAGACCCTTATTCCACTAACAGAACTTTAACAGTGAACATAAAAAAATAGGGAAAATCTGATTTTTTAGGGCTTGTCTAACACTTTTATTGGACTGTCACCCGCTTATTGTCACCTGCTTAATGTGTTAAAAATTCCACAAAAATGTATGGAAAAATTAAATTTTCTAAAGTATAACTTTTGCTAAAATAATGATCTCCAGTGTATATGTTATTCTCAAGAAACAGAGCCCCTGACCCCTATCTTGAAATAAATTCTTATAGATTTGAAACAGTAAGGAGTTTTACTTACTTAGGATCAATTATTAACGTTGACAACAGAATTTCTCCTGAAATAAAAAAACGGACTCTATCTGGCAAATAGGACTGTCTATGGGCTGAGAAGATTTATTAAATCTAGGTTTCCTTCTAGATAAACAAAGTTCTTGATCTACAAAACTCTTGTCCGGCCAGTCTTGACGTACGCTTCTGAAGTTTGGACAATGACAAAACAGGAGGAAAATTGTATCACAAATATTTGAGAGAAAGATTTTGCGGAGTATACTTGGTGGTGTAAATGAAAACAATAACTGGAGAAGAAGATTTTACTTTAAACTGTACAAGATTTATAAAAAACCTGATATTATTAAATACATAAAAATAAATAGAATGAATTGGATGGCCCATGCGATTCGAATGAGTGATGACAATACAATAAAAAAGATACTGCTTTTTAAACCCANCAATACAAAATAAAAGATACTGCTTTTTAGACCCACTGGAACAAGAAAGCGGGGAGGGCCGCGGGTAAGATGGGCTGACTCAGTGAAGTCTGATTTTCTCACAATTAATGAAAAGAATTGGAGATCAAAGGTAAATCGGAAGTTGTCATGGAGAAATCTTCAGAGGAAGGCATTGGCTCATATTGGGCTGTCTGGTCAACTATGATGATGATGATGAATGATCTCCAGTGACATTGCGTACAGTAATTTTTGAATAAATAAAAACAATTTGGAATTCTAAGATATTTTTAGAAGCTTCATCGTTACAAAACAATATTTTTAACGTTTAAGTACTGTCTTATTAAGCATGTATATCAAACCAGTCTTAACTATTCACTTTTGAAATTTTAGTATCGGTAGTTTTATTTATAATTTATATTAATCTTATTAGTGCAACTTGCTGTGTCTTTTATATTGCGTCCTGCTTAAGAAACCACTTTATTTATTCTCACCAAGTTGCAAAGTTTGTCACCAAGTTAGACAACAGATGGCGCTGCTGATTAAGAAATATTAATGGCAATGGCTTTTGACATTCTAAATTATTAATGTTGTTGTACTGTAAATTTTCAAGAGTCTTTAAAGTTGTTAAATGAGATTTCGATGAACATTCTGATTATAAGACGATGTAATAAGGTAGTTTCATTTCCTATTTATTTGTTTACCTAGTTTTTTCTAAAGATAATATTTATGCTTTTGTACTAACAGGCATATTGAGCTGCTTTCGACGACGAGATGTCAGAAAACTGATCACGTGGTTCCTGGACACGGACAAAGTAGAAATGAGAAGACGCAGTAAAGAGGTATACTTTTTAATCTCGTATAAAAAGCAGATTTGTTACACGTGGTTTTGACTTCTTGATTTTTATTATAAGATTACTAGTAGTTATTGGTACTATAAATCACAACTACAATTTTATTAATTACTTATTACGCTGTCAAAGTAGACTATTGATTTTTGTTTCATAATTTCCACCGATTTTTGGAGGAAAAAGATATTTTAATTAACCACCACATGTCAACAATTTTAGTAATAATATTTTGTTCTAAGGCTGAAAACGGTTTTATTTTTTAATTTAAGGGAAATCTAAAATGGCTCCGATAAAATATTTCGAAGGCATGCTTTCGGCAATTTTTAATCTCCTTCCCTTTATTAGTAAAAGTAATTAAAATTACTAGAAATTAAAACGTAAGAAATACCCCCAAATTCCTCCTTGTTTTTGCTCTTACTTTGACTTTTATTTTAGTAATTTAATTTTAAATTTCAATGTTAATGGTATATGTTCTTTTGCATAAAACAAAATTTACGTTTTAACCTATTTTATAAAAGTTTAAGCAGAATTTTCTTAAGAAATGCCTTTTTTTTTTGTTTCTTTTGTGCATTTTCAAAACTATTTAAAGAAATTGCTTCCAACTTTTTCTTTCCCAAATAACTTTTTCAAATCGGAAACTTTCGAAGTTTAATATTTTTTCAAATTTTCAGTTATTTTTGTTTTTAGAAAATTTAAAATAAGGGAATTTTAGCGTTATTGTAAGCATTGCTCAGATTCCTCCGCTCCCCTTGTAACAACAATGAGCAAATCATAAAACCTTAATTTTTTAGCAATATCTGAACAACATATATTGTAACATATATGTTGAATATTTTTCCACAGATTAAATACTTAGCTAGCTTCTGTCGACAACAATGAGGGAGTTTTTTCTTCGTAAATATTTAATCAAAACCGAAAAAATTTTTGTAAAATTGCCTCCTAGGAATTGTGTCCACGAAGAATTGTACTTGCGACGAATTATACTTACAACGAAATGTACCTCACAAACTGTGCGCGACGAATGTCGCAGAACCTTAATTACCGACCTCTAATGCTTAACTTGAAAAGATACTAAAAATGTATATAAAAAGTCGCAATATGTAAATATGTATTGTTTTTTTTAGCCAGTTTTGGTCCCATACTTTTGTGCATGTAATTTTAATACCTAAAATGACATACTTCGAAGAACTAAGTTCAGTCAGTTTCATTTATTTCCTCCATTTTTATATGGCCTCTCATTTTGTGGGAAACGTGTAGCTAAATTATTATTTTTTATTTGTTTAACCAAGAATAAGAAAATTCATATTTTACTTATTACTTTACAATAGGCTCTTCAATTTGAAAACTGCTCCAAAATATTTTTGATATTCTTTTTTTAATTTTTGTATTATTATGTTTTTAATTATTATTATTTTATTATATTTATTTATTTATGTTTTGCAGACGGGTGAGTGGGTGGAGACGAGAACATTTATTTTCGATTGTAACGGACTTAGTTTAAAACAGATATATCACAGAGAAGGTGAGTACATACACAAACTGCTTTAGTTCTTTTTCTATTTTGGAAAAGATGTCGTTTTTCATCTTATCTAGATTGGGGTTGTTGGGTTATTTTGCACACGTAATTTTCAATCTAGGCTACATGACGACAAAATAGTTTTTTCCTCTGACAACTTAACATATAGGCGGAGCAGTATCATTTTCTTAGGGGGAGACATTCAGACTAATGTATATGCAGGATGTCGCAAAAGTTCAGGACCTTCCATACATTCAGAAAACCACATTGGATTGAAAAAAAGAAACTTGCTTATATTATTTTTAAAAAAGTTATGCACTGATACTAAACTAGATTCTGACCCCCGGCAGAGAACATCATCTCCGAAATTTTGCTCTACTTTCGTTGAATGTTTTATTGTGAATCGCCTGCCTCTCTTCTGTTGAATATCCTCAAGTAAAAATCAAACCTATCCGTACTGTAACGCAACAGATTAAATTAATACTTGCTCCATGCTTAATGCTATAGATCTTCACACCTGTCGGTATCGGTAATTTTATTTCTAAGAAGATGACTACCTTTTTCCGGTAAATGATTCTATATGTTTATTTATGGGTCTGCATAAAATTTCGAATAAATTAAAACGCAAGAGAACAACTCACGTCTTAACTTATTTATAATAATCTCGGGTAGTCATACTTCTGTGAATTTTGTGAATCTGTGAGATTATGTGAATTTTTGTCACGAACACCTCGGAAATCTGTGAACTGATTTTTTTGTTGATTTCCCCCCCATCTAATACAGGATAGAAATTATTGAGGTACGCGACAAATGAAATAAAATGTTCAAAAAACTACTAAAGTAGATAAAATTATACGAATTTTAAAAGTATTAAATTGCGAATTTGGATAGAGTTTATGACCTCTTCGATAAGCTTACCATGAGCTTACTTACCAGTTTACTACAATATGGAGCAGAGCCGTGGTGGCTTAGAGGATAGAACGCTCGTCTTCCAATTGAGATGACCAAGGTTCGAATCTTAGTGATGACTGGTCTATACGAATGCCGCACCCGTCTCCCACCGACCCCCGTGTTGACGTAATCCCGCATTGAATCGAAGTGTCGAGCGAATCGATGATCTCCTGAAAAAGTCCTCTCTGCAACAGCGGTTCCCCAATGGTGTTCCGCGAAAGGGTTCCGAGAGTTAGCAATGTTTTTTTAATTAGTAGTGTTTGTCGAAACCTGTAATTAAATTTATATCCAATTAATAATCTGTTATTTATTTAAATTTTTTGTAATTTTTATGATTTCAATTGAAATTTATGATTTCAATGTGTTATTTTTCAATTGAATTGCCTGTGAAGAAAGAAATTTTAACAAAAAGTTTATTCTAATAAGTATACAATAAATGAATTATGAAAAGGATATTCATTTATGAAAAATTCCATTAACATTTTAAATCAAATAAGAATACCCAAATTCAATAAGGAAGAAGTATATTTCTCTGATTCTCAGCGCTAATTTCCTTTGTTTTTATGTTAATGGAAACCAAATTGCATTCATTTACAGTTTATGCATGCATTAAAATCAAAATAAGAACTCGACTAGATGTTGCTTTCCAGACCTGTGAGTTCAACTGTCTGATATAAAAACCAATTTTAAAACTAATATTGATAGAAAGATACAATAAAAAAATTGTTCTTTACTCACTCACTAAATATTTTCAAAATAATTAATAAAATTTAGATCATTACGTATTTTTTAGACAATTAATAGTCTTTCGTTAATTAATAATTGCTGATAAAATTTATTCATAAAGTCTCGGGGTTCCGCCAAAAAAATCATTTAGGGGTCCACTGATGGAAAAAAATTTGGAACTTCTATTTTACACACACATGAGTCACAACGGTTGAGGTGCGGAGAATAGCGTGGCCTTCACGATAGATATGTTTTTAGAAACGCCGCATTTCAACCTTTACGTCGGAAAGTAAACAGCAATAAGAAAGCTCTTAATATTTATAACCATTCACACCTCTAAGTTGTAACTGAATCTTTCAAATGGTTCAGTTTTCATTGTCGGCCAAATGAATAGAACCTAGTTGTAAGAGTTTAATTAAAAAATTGAATTGGTGCGTATAAAGTATCGTTATTTATGTATTAAAATTGATAGGTTGCATAATTGGGTGTATCTCTGGATATAGTCATGATTATAAATAGGTAAATGATTGAAATGTCATGATAAATAAATTAAAGGCCGAAACATATATAAGGTAATTAAATTAAGGGGGATGTGATCGTTAAGGAAAGTGGTAGTACAATGCCAATGTGGGATAACAATAACCCAATAGGTTCAAAGGGTCACAAAGTGTGAGGTTTGAACAAATTGGAAGAAATTTGTATCACCAAATTTAGAATAAGGGTGACACTAAAATAAATTAAGGATTAAAGATAAAAACGATAAAGTCATGCTATATCCAGATACAATTTAACATTTAAGATAAATGGAATAAGCTGATATTTCCAATATAAAAAAAGAAAGCATGCCTAAAGCAGAATTACAAACTCACCCACCACATGCAGTAGAATTTGACGAGAACAGCAAATGAAGAGATGAACACATAAATTTTAACGACAGTGAACATTTATTTCAAAACAACTCACAATATATTTTGTGGAAAATTGGATAACACAATTAACGTTAGGAATGCCATTTAATAGAAATGGATGACAAGAGAATAAAGAAATAGGAGGTGTCATGCATAAGATTAAAATAAATAAAACGAGAAATTTAACTATAGAAAAGATATTCATAGCTAGAAAGCTTAAATTCGAGAGGGTCTTTAATATAAAAAAAAAACTAAGGGTAAAAATGAAGTTATTAAAATTACAGAAATTAATTTCACACATTTAATTTAAATTATAGGCTGGCTGAGAAAAAGATGTAAAACATAAATTCCCTTGATACGGACCGAAGTCTGCATCTCGGAAAAAAAGGGTAACCAGCCCGAAGACTCGAGAGAGAGAATGTATTAAAAAAAAAAGACTTAAAAAAATTCCTTAACTGGGGTAGACCAGAAAAATTACATCAAATTAAATTTAAAGAGGTGGAGAGTTTGAAATTTAAAGGAAAGAGATTGGTTAGTTAGCCCCCCTGAAATTAAAAGAAGAAAAAGAAAGGCGTGAATAGAGGGGTTGGTTGACTTTCCCCACAGGAGGTGCGATGACCGCCATGACCATGAGAAAGGTCAACAAGAAAGTTAAAAATGAAATTGCTGAATTGAAAAAAGGAATAACGTTTAAAGAAAAAATTAAAGGCTTAGGTAAAATTAGAAATTAAATTGTCACATTACATTAAGTGTAAATGTGACACTAGTAATTGGTGATTTTTTTTTATAATGCACTTGCAAAAAAAAGTTTTAAGATTGCATGAAAATTATTTTTCAATTGTGGTTCCAAAATAATTAAATAACCAAAAATATCAGGCAATAAAATCGGTTTTTAAATTCATCGCAGCCCGAAATCTGGTACATGCTATGTTTTTTTCTTGATTTTACGAATTCAACCATGATGTACCTCTCTCTTCAATGCTGTTATTTTGTGACATTATTATTTGATTTGAGTTGTTTTTTATGCTTTTAATACCTACTTTCGCTTTTTTTTTCCAGTTTATGAGCTTTTCGTGTCTTTCCTGAAATTGTACGAGGCTAATTATCCTGAAAACCTAAAAGTGGCTTTTGTGATTCATAGTAAGCTATTTCGTTTTCTAAATTTTGAATATCATCTTATCAGAAATTATTTATTAGTAAAAATATTTAAATTCTTGTGTGTTGCTATGAGTAATTTTGAATAATCTTATTTCAATATTTTATTTAATGCTTTTTTTTAAAATAAAAATTAAAAATTCGAAGTTGTAGAAAAAGTATTTCGTCAACAGCTTAAAAGAATTTGGCTTTTTGGCATGGTAGAAAATTATTTTATTTTCTAATTGTTAGATGTGAATAAATAATTCCAAATTTTTAATATCAGGAAGCAAATTAATTTGTTTTTCTTTAGTGTTTAGGTTTTAAAGAAAATCTACTTATTTTTGTCCCGTCGTCTGAAAGTAGGAAGTTTGCAAAATATGTTCTCAAATTTTTCAACTTGAAAATCTCATATTTGACACTTTTAATGCTTGGTCAAACACATTTTGCGGCTGGCCTTATCATGAAATATTTTAAATTCGTTTTCCTTCACAACTATTTTTTTAAAGTTTAATTTTTCCGGAATTAATTGATGAATTGGATTCTTTTTTCTTTCGTCAAAAAATGGAGATTGATCGTTTATTCTAAACTGTAGGATCAACGTTTTTAAATAATTAATTTGCCCTGAGAAGTAAAATATTAAAAAACAATTTCTTCGCCTCGTTCGTATTTTGTCGAACGTTAACTCTTTCATGCTAAATTTTGTTATAAAGCTCTAGGGAACAATTTATTTTCATTTAAAAATAGTTAAAATATATTTTAAAATTGAATGCAAAATTTAAAAAACATCTATAGGCAAAGCAAAACTATTTTTTAAGAAAATATTTGAAAGATTATTTTTACTGACAAGAATTAATTTATACAAATTATACGGGTCGTACAATTAGTGATAAAAATAGTTATTTTTCCAATAATTTTTTTACATAACTTTTTTTAATTAAACAAATACATAAAAATATTGTTAATATGTTTTAAAAATAGAATTATTTTCTAAGAACAAACCGGTGTTTCAAAGCAACTGAAATAACTGAGATTTTTTTCTCCTATAGCGCCTTCTTTCTTTTCATGGGTGTTCAATCTAGTGAAATCCTTACTCTCCGAGGATACGGTGCAAAAGCTAAGGATATACGGAAGAAGTATGTGCGTATTTGTTATTTACTTATATATAGTTTATCTGTAGAAATAACTCCCCTCTCCGCAAAGTCGAAGGCCGTTTGCTGCTATGGAAACAAGTAAAAGCGCATTTGAAAGAGGGGATTTTCCTTTCCCCCTCGATTCCCTTTCTCTCGCCGACGCGAAACGAAAGCTGTCTTACGAAGAAGCCATACCACGGGAGAAACTTTCCGTGGCTAATTTTTCTTCACAAAATTTAAAAGAAAGAAAAAGTGTGTTCAGACAAGCCTAGAATAAACCACGAAGTATCACTTGCTGAAAAAAAAGTCGAAATATTAAAATACAAACAAATTATTGGAAGAAAACTTCTTTCTTCATTACGTAATACAAAGATCGAAAGTAATCTTTTCATAATTTATTTTCATTTTCATGTTTTAAAATGTTCTTTTTCGTATTTGAACCTTCGTGGCTTACTCTAGGTTAGTCTGGACTCACTTTTTCTTTACTTTAAATTTTAAGTTAATTATGGAGGTGAAAGATAATTTGCAACGAAAAGTTTCTCCCGTGGTATAGTATCATCATCTTAAATATTGACTCAACACCCATACATGATCTAGTTAAACCTCGAAACCATAGTCGCCACCACTGCTCCAGATAAATGGCGAGAGTGACAGCCGTCTAAGCACTAATAACGGACAAGTGTTAATTAGAACAAGATTTGTTAAAGTAGAACAAATAAAAACATTTCTAAAATGAATTTTTTTTTTAAATGCAAGCATTTTAAATTAGGTGTCAGTTTTGAATCAAAAATCTGGGAATTGAAATCAGACTTTAAAAAATTACGACGACGAAAACATTGCAACCAGGAAACGTTTCGATTTTTTATTGTCCTTGGTTTTAGATCCGGTGTTTTGGATTTGAATATCTTTAAGGAAAAAGAATGCATTTTTGAAAGAACGTATAAAAACGTATTTAAGAAGAAAAAAAAAATCTTTTTTTAAAAAAAATATACGTTAAGAAAAGTGTTAAGTAATTAGTCTAATTGTTTAATAATAAGTTTTCTTAAATGCGTTAAATTTGTTTAATTTTCCATTTTGTCTTTCTTATATTCACAATAATGCTCATTGTGTGTATTTTGTGTGTTTGTCTTTAAAAAATTAATCCATTCATAAAACGAGTACAATTTCTGCTATTCAAATGTGGATGTCAGACAAAAAGAAGCAGAACAATTTAATTTCAATTATAACACAAGCATCGTCTGTTAATTTGCAAATATAAATCAGTGGTCTGTCCAGACATTTTGTGAAAGGTCCGTTTTTGTAAAATTGTGAAAAAAATTACACGTAATTTGTGAATATAAAATAAACATTAAGTCACATTCTTTCAACCAGGGTCCGCTTTTGTGAATTTGTGCAAATAGGGTCCGTTATTGCAAAAAAACTTTTTCAAGGAGTTTTTAAGTTGTAAAGACATACAAGATTATGCTCAACACTGTAAAATTATAATTAAAGAAACTAAATTTTAAAAATAAACAGCAATTGCAGCCACTAAATTAGCGATGCAACATACAAATATTTGGTATTTAGCCTATACTGCTGAATGCAGAATATTCATTTCGGACGAATAAAGGAAGAAACGTCTGCCGAAGACAAAATTTAGTTCGTTTACATCTGTCTTTCTCTCCCCCCCCTTAACAAAACAATAATGAAGATAAACAAATTTGTGAAGGGTCCGTTTTTATGAAACAATATTTTGTGAAGGGTCCGTTAACGGACCTAAATTTCTTCCAAACAGACCCCTGTAAATTCACAGCAACATGTTGTTTTAATTATGAGATACAATTCTGTAACAAATCAAAAATCAAGTTGCGTGGAATACCAGTCATTTCCGTTTTGTAACAGAATACATTTTAACTCTTCTCAGATAATAACGATGGTTATTTCTGGGGACGAAATAATATTTTTAGTGTCCGACAATCCTCAGACTTTGCATTTGTCTTCAGAAATTGAATTGAAAACTAAGAGCTTGCTTTTTACCAGGGTCTTGGTATATTTTAATACGTCGATTAAACGTTTTTTATTCGAATGGTTCATTTTTTATTCATTTCGTCAAGGTGTCCAAATGTGGGGACCAGACTTGTATTATTACTCAGTAACCACTTTTAGTAACTACGCGGGAAATTTCTCCTCTCCAGTTCACACTTGGCGATCAAAAATATTTATGGTTGAGCGAGTAGGTTTCATCTTTCAATCCTTTATAGAGCCTTTTTTTTCTAGTTATTCTAGTTACTTTAGAATGTTTTTGGTACTCAGATTAATTTATAAAAATAAATTCATCTAATATTTTCCTTAAATTGATTTGATTTTTAAGACCATTTTGGGGGGGGGAAGTGGTTGAGACTTCTAAAATTTTACTTCTTACTAATATTTGGCTATAACCTTGAACTTCTGTGCTTATAAACAGTCGAATTTATAAATTCGGTGCTTGTTACTACAAATGAACTCTATGAGAAATGATCAAATGAAACATAACGCATTTCACATAACGCTTAGTTTTGGTTACTAAGTACTGCTTCGATTTAAAGCTTTTAAATTTCGATAGCTTTGGTTACCAAATACTACATCTGTTTCGATTTTTTAAATTTCGATGCTATTGGTTACCAAATACTGCATCTGCTAGCACTTTGAAAATATTAATATTTCCATAAATGTAAAATAGTGGTGAGCAGTCATGCTAGTCTGGCTAGTATCTTTAAGACTAAAGACCGTGTCCTAGATATTGTGCATCAAGAGAGTACACAACGAGTTGTGACTTTTAAGGGGTCGCCATACCGAGGGAGAAACACTTCTTGGCAAATTCTCTTTCACTAAGTATCATTTAAAATTTAGAAAAAGTGAGTTCGTGCAAACTTGAAATTTCAAAAGCTGGATTTTTCTTCTTCAAAATATCAAAATGCAAACAAATTATGGCAAGGATTATTTAGCTGTGCAGAAGTAACTCTGTTGTAACTTGTTTGTAATTTGATATTTTAAAAAATATTTTTCCGGCATTCGAAATTTCATGGCTCACTATAGGTTTAACGAAATTTACTTTTTTCCTAAACTTTTTATTTCAAAAATACCAATGGTTGATTCATTAATTGAATATAGGATTTAATGGCACAAAAGAGGACATGCTGCGCCAAACAATATGACAAAACAAATCAAAACTAAAATGTATGTTACATTTAAATTATCGCGAGATCAAATTTGATGAAATGGTATTAANGATTAAGAAAAATATGTGAACTGTTTGCAATTTCAAACTAATATTGAAATGTACAGGTTTAGAATTTTCTACAGTGAAAAGTTTTCGGAACGTCAGTATTCAAAAAAGTATACAAGAACCAGACGTTAAGAACGTATCCAATGAGCGAGCAAAAGCGAGCATTGGATTGCGAAGCAATCCGAAATGAACTGTGAAAGCAGTTCCGGGGGTTGGTGAGCGCCAGCGAGCAGGGGGCGAAGCCTCCTAGTAATATATAATAAACGAATTATGTAAAACGGTACGAAGATTGTAAAATAAAATAAAATACCAGTGGAGGTGAACGAGCTATGAAAATGTCTCCAAGCGATATGGCGTCCTCCACACAATCTATCGTTAAAAGTTGAGCACTTTAAATCGACATCGGTTGCTAAGATGATATTATAGAACAAATTTTTTGTGGAAAATAAAAGTATTGTGTTTCTTGTTTTTTGTAAAATGGTGTCAGAATAATTTTAATTTGTTAAAGTAGTAGTTTTTGAGTAGAGAATGACGGAATGTTGCACTTTTTGGTAGAGTCTCTTAATAATTGTTATTAAGAGATTTAACTTTGTATCATAAGTAGCGAACGTTTCAAATAATGACCATTTATTTGTAGGTGGCTGGGAGAAGGAGTTGTTGGAGTATGTTGACGCAGATGTCCTTCCAGCAATTTATGGAGGAAAAAGAACTGATCCAGATGGTGATCCCCGATGCCTATCACTGGTATTCCCTTCCTTATTCAATACAACTCTTTAAATAGTAGAACATTTCATTTTGTCCGATAATAGGCATAGGGCAAAATCACTGGTATTCCCTTCCTTATTCACATAAATTATTTCGATACAACTCTTTAAATAGTAGAATATTTCATTTTGTCCGATGATAGGCATAGGGCAAAATCACTGGTTTTCCCTTCCTTATTCACATAAATTATTTCAATACAACTCTTTAAATAGTAGAACATTTCAGAAGCGTCAGTTTTGTCCGATAATAGGCATAGGGCAAAATTTACGATCTACAAAATATATTTTAAAAAAATGGCAGTTAAAAATGTGTTTTATAATCGCCACTTTTTTCGCCGAAAATGCATCCCCATGTACCCTAAAACTCGTCCTTCTAACTTAGTGTCTTATTTTGTTACACGGGAAAGCTGTAATCGTCCCCAGAAAGTTCACGTTATTTTAACACTGGCTCACAATTTCAGATTAACATTTTTATTGTGCTCTAGCACAGAACTTCAGTTAAAATTTGAGCATTCTAGTTGGAGGTAAAGAGATCGGAGTTTTGATTAAAGATACATTCTGTATAGAAATTAACTGACGATAAATTCTGCACATTGCGGCAGAGAAATGATTGAAATATATTCATTGTTTTCAGACAAGTATCACCAAAAATGATTTGCTTGCTCTAGTTAGCCACAAAAGGCGACGATTACAAAATTTCACTTCCACTGATTCGAACGCTAGTTAATAAAAACATAGTAAAATATTTATAAATACTTATTATTTTGTACTTTATTATTGAATTAACCGTATTTGCTTCGTCTATAAGCCCATTGGATAGAAGAGGACTGAATCCCAGTTGCATTGAATGTTCCTGTGATGCAATTTTTAGATATGATTAATCAAGGGTGTTTGAAGAAGAAAATTACTGTCTCATGTTTTGTTTTCACTGATAGAGAACGTAATTTACATGTTACAACAAATCTGCTGCACTATCTTCTTAAATCCAAATTTGCCTGTTATCTTAACTCAAACTAACAGAGAGTTTAAAAATTCAACTTGTATCTGACAAATTGCATTTAATATCTAAATTCATCTAACATACATGGAGCAAAATTTGCAAACATTAGGTCTTTTTTGCATTAAAACTTTGTTTACATTTATGTTGAATTTTATACACGCAATGATACTAATAAATATTGAATAAATCCCTATACAGTTAAGCGTGCATTCAAGTTAAGGACGAAAAGAAATTCTTCACTTTTTTTTCCTTTATGGTGTACTCTCAATTCAATTACAATTTCAGAAACTAGTTTAGACATGTTTTAAAAAGGAATCTCAGCTATTTTTCCTCATCAGCTTGCTTTTTAAAGTTAAAAGGAAAAAGTAAGCTAAAATATATTCTGCAGATGCTGTAATAATCTGCAGCGCCAGCTACCGTGCTGCAGTGTTTCTGTTATTGAGCATGCAGCTCTGCAAGGGTTTAATTACACGTAGTTCACTTGCTGTAATTTAATCTCTATTACTTTCTTTTCAGTGTAATTTATTGTCACAAAACATTCTCCAACTTCTTAAACAGAATGAGACTTCTTTGTGAGACTTGTATAGTTGCCATACCCCCCCCCCATATTAAACCCTCTCAGGTGCCATTTTGGACTATTTTGCTATGGAACTTCTTATTACGAGTTTATGTCATTATCCTTTTGTTGTTTTTGGTATACTTCGATGGACTTAAAATGTCACTTAATTCAGTGTTGTATTTCTTGAATTGTCTGCAAAAGTGTTTTCGGACATGAGGGTATTTGTTAGCGCTAAAATGTAGAAATCAGTTATTCCATAGATTCTCTGATTCGTTAAAGTGTCAAAACATCGTTTCATTTCTCGAATTAAGTAGGTAATCAGCAAACTTCTTGGATAATCTGCCATGGCGCTTGTTAAAGTGGAAATAAGATCTTTGATAGGAAACAACAGCAACGTCTCTGTGCGCATAAATAAGCATAATGCCATTTATTTATTTTTCGATATCTGAAGAATCAAGTCAAAGCTAGTGGATATTATGGTTTTAAAGAAAGCTAGCTTCGATAGACAACATAATGTAAACCAGTAGTGTGGTCCCTGTGTATAAAGTAAAAAGCAGTATTTAGTGGAGCAGAGGTTTTGTAAACCATCATCACCTCAAAACCACTACTGGGGTAGGAAAAGAGATTAAAAATTTTCGATTTATAGTTTTTTTTTTCATTTTTGTACTATTTATAAGAAGTAGTACTGCACTATTAACTAATATATTTCTTTGAGAAAACATTTATATAATCCATGTTGATTAAATCTGCCAGCATATTTTGAGATAGAAAAAAATGAATAAAATGGAGCTTGGCGGGAGGCAGCATACGCAACCATACACGTAGAGTTGTCAGACAACTCATATGCGCATACTTGCCGTGATGGCTATGTGGATAGAGCCTTATAATAAGGTGAACCGGGTTCGAATCCCAATGATGGCTGGTCGATACGAATTCCGCATCCGGCTTGCATCGACCACGGTGCTGGTGTAAACTATTCTCAGTGGTAGACGGATCATGGGTTAAGTATCCTTGCCATCAAGCAACCCATGAGAATTTTTCGTGCTTTTCCTCTTCATGTAACGCAAGTGCGGGTTAGTTCCATCAAAAAAGTCCTCCACGAAGGCAAATTTCTCCCAATGCTTGATCCAGAAGTTTTCTTGTCTTCTAGATTGGGTTCAGAATTACAAGGAGTTGAACATTAGTAGTCGTAAACCCGAAAATTGGGCCACGATGGTTATAAATATAAATATGCTCGGCTATATCTGACTATGTTGCTCACTCTGTAAGTTATTTTCTGGTATGGCATATCGTAACAAGTAGTTCCCTTAGTTAGTTATATGTATTCGAAGATCTAGACGGAAACGCAGATTACATTGGTAAATTGCGGAAAATGGTTTTCGAGATTAAACTTAAACGTTTTTATACCGTAATGTGATGTGTGTGCGTAATTTAAGTTTCAGGAAAAAATATAAATCATATAATAATAAAACGTGATTGCTCCAATGATCTTTATTTAACCATCAGTGGTAGATGGAAAATTTATTAAAATTTTTTTCACTTCTGCAGATTTACCAACCAGGTCCCATTCCTAAGGAGTATTACCTAAAGAATCAGAATCGATTGAACGCAGAAGACGAGGATGTGAAGACAGTGGTGGTGGGTCGTCGATCTAAACATGCCGTTTCCCTGAAGGTGGAGTTGCAAGGATCCACCATCGCCTGGGAAGTGGATTGCAAGAACTGCGATATTCATTTCTCGCTGCTCTACAAGGACACGATACTCGAATCTCGGAAAATCAACAATGAGTACGGAGTGGAGAAAGGTTGCTATTTGACCACACACACTGGAAACTGTAAGTTCTATAATTTTTTTTGTTATTGTAAACTTAATTTACTGAATTTCAGGGCTGAGGTTCTTGCTACAATAGCTTCAAACCATCCTTTTTGATTTGCACAAAAAATATTTCAATTGTAAAATTTGACAGATTTGATTGAATGAATCGTCTATTAACTACCATTCCTTATTGCACTCTCTCATTGATTTCTATGCTTTGTAAAAATTTTTGTTTCTTGTGCCGATCAGCATTCATATTACTCGATATATTCTGCCAATGTTCAGTGACATTCTCTGATTATTCAGTGATAACCTCAAAACTAAAAGTTATAAAATTAAAATAAGGGTTGGCATGATTTAAATCACTTGATTATTTAAAAAAAATCATTACTTCTAATTCTCATGATATTTTTGCTTTTTAGAAACTATTCATTTATGAATTCATTTCATTTATGAATTCATTCATTTATGAAAATATTTTTTTATGTAATTTATGAATACACTCACTAGGGTGTGATTTTATTGATTGAAGGTTTTATCTAGAGAAATAATGAAATGGGCATGTATTTTAATTAATTAAATAAACAAAAAGGATTAAATATGGATAAAAGTTTAGTAAAACTTTCCATATCGTAAGTAAAATAATTTTTTGTTTTATAAAAACATATTTTAATTATACCCATGTAAATAAAAGTACTTACGAAACTTATTAAAAAAGTAGTTTGTATGTATAATTAATGAAGAAAGATTTGTTGTTCCTGGGGAAATTTTAGATAATTGATTTTTTCTCTCCATGTTTTCTGGTCTAAATTAATTTATTCTTCATCTGGTAACAAATTATGTCTTTGTCTTAAATTTGTGACTGTACTAACATTGAGCAAAAATAATTAAGATTTTATTTATTCAGTGATTAATTTGTAATTGGTATATAATTATTTTAAAGTATATTGAGCATTATTAATATATTTGATCGGACTTATCTGGTAAATAGAAAAAAAGAAAAAGAAAGCATGGTTTGAACATATAAAAAATATATAATTTAAATTTTAAAAAATCTTTTTTTATTATTATATTAATATGATTACGGTAATACCATACGATTTACTTTATTATAGAGAAACAATACTTTTAGACTGACGCTTTAAGTTTTGAATCATAATCAAAAATAATAACGTAGTAAATGCAGAGAAAAATATTTAAAAGGGAAGATAAATAAATATTACTGATAAATAAGTTACAACTTTTATGTTAGTGAACTGATGACAGCCTATGATTCGTTTAAATATTTTTTGATATTTCTATCCAATGAGAATAGATGAAAATGTAAAAAACCAATAATCTTTTTATGAAAGACAAAGGAATAAAATGCGTGACATTTATTCATCTGTAAATCTTGCATACCAATTATTATTTAATTGGGTATACTATAGCCTACGTCACAGATCGTGTTATTCCTACTAAATTTAACTAGTAAACAGCATTTTCTGCGAACCTGATTTCTAGCAACAAGTAATAGCATCAAACGAAGTGTCTTGTTTATAAGTCGCTACTCGCCAGGTTGGAATTGTATTAGTCTAGTTCCTTTGGAAATAATTTATATTGTTGTTTTACCGAAGTTTATGAATTTAGTAAGCATATTTAAAACTCAGTTTATTAATTAAACTAAAAGGTAAATGTTATTCCTAGTAAGTGGAAGTAGTTGTGCTTTTTTCATATTATACCCAATAGCAACAGCTTTTGTTATCAAATTCCTTATAAGAAATAATAAAAAGGTTAACTGTTTAGTATTATGGTCTAACAAACAATTGCCGAAAAATCACACTACGCAAGCTGGTTTTCATGCAGAGAAGTGTAATTTTTCAGCAAAAGTTTGTAAACTTTTTATATTTCATGAAGAATTTAGTGGACTAAACATTTTCATGTATGAAACGTTTAGCCAATGTAATAATTCCATGGTAAAAAAAAAACTATTTAAAAAAAATTCATTATAGATAGAGTTGTAAATTTTTTTTTTTATATTTTCAGATTCTTTAGTTTTGGACAACAGTTACAGTTTATTTCGGAGTAAAACAGTTCTGTATAAATCTTTTGTTTTCACTCATACAGCTGGAAATGAATGTCCCGAACAAAATGGTTGTTAATATCCTTATTATAAAGTATGTTAAGTTTTAAATATTTGTAATATAAAATGTACCTAAAATTTGTAAGCTAATTTTTTATGTGTACAAAAAATATATTTTACAAGTGAACGTTTATATCATTTTTCAAACATGCATTTTAAATCTCGCATTCTCTCTCTTATAAACATATCTTTCTATTTCATTTCACTATTGATAGATAGATATGTTACGTTCATTGTGAATAGTAAGTTATTATTATTATCAGCAGGTCAATATTAATAATAACCAAAAATGTCGATCAAAGGGAATAATTTAGGTGATTTTATCACATTAACCGGTTATTATTAATAACAGCCAATGAAATTTGGACAATGTTATTCTTTCGCGTTTTTACTGGGGATATTTCCGCATCGTGATCTGCCACGCCAACGACAATCGCAGAGGCGCCAAACTGATATTAAACTGGAGACATTAAAAAAAACATGTAGATGTTTGCTTGGGGGTGGCTATGAGTTATATCCCTACGAGTTGCTCCCTTCCTGTGATTTTTTTTTTTTAGTTTCTCGTGCGCCGCTGCCCGGTAGGGGCCAAAACTTGGCAATTATTCTGCCACAGATCACAATACGGATATCTCCCCTTTTTATTTTTCACTTTGGTCAAAAGAAGCGGTTATTATGAATTTTGACCGGTTAGTATTAATAACAACCGGATTTATCAATTCAACCGTAACACATATACAAAAAGGCGCACCCATTTTTCAATGCTATATAAACCGTATAATCACATTGACCAAACTTCATTGGTTATTATTAATAATAACTGATTAAGAATAATATACAATATTTCTCACTTTGCCGGCCAGGTGGCCGAGTGGTTAGTGTGCCTGACTGCGAAGCCAATGGCTGCGGGTTCGAATCCCGCTCTGGGCATGGATGTTTCTCTCTCACTCTGTTGTCTTCTGATGTGTGAATGTATGAATGCGGCCCACTCTATGAACGGGTATTTGTGGCAGTGTGGCGTGGGTAATGTTGCTCGCCTCCGTGACTTTGGTTCACAGGTGCCCACTGGGAAACGATAAATGAGCAACACTTCCGTCATCTTCTTAGGCGAAGAACGAAAGTTCATGCCTGCCGTTATTAAAAAAGAATATTTCTCACTTTGACCAAAAGATCCGGTTATTATTAATATTGACCGGTTAGTATTGATATAACCTGATTTATTACTTTAACCGTGACATATATATCGATTAACGGAAGCGTCGATTCGAATTTCATTTTTCTGCTGCTAGCAAATTTTCATGAGATAGTTTTATAACCGTCGTTGAACAGCTGACCCCATTTTTCGGGCTTACGACAACTAATGCTCAACTTCGTCGCCTTGTAATTTTGGAACCAATCCAGAAGACAAGGGATCTAATGGATCAAGTATGGGGAGAAATTTGATTGTGGAGGAATTTTTGATGGAACTAACCCGCATTTACATTACATGGGGAGGAAAACCATGAAAACCTATCACGATTAGTCTGATGGCAAGGGGACTTTAGCCCATGATCCGTCTACCACTGAAGATTTGTGGTCTGTGCGAGCCGGCTGAGGAATTCGCTTCGACCAGCAGCCGCTGGGATTCGAACCCGGGACACCTCCTTGTGAGGTCAGTGCACTTTCTCCTGAGCCACCACGACTCAGTCTTGGGTATTAATGTTTGTATGGGTAACAACTCGAAAAAATAGAGGCCAACACATGGTTCTTATAACCACCAACAGCGTATTAATACCCCAAACATAAAATACCCATATTTCAGACTTATATAATTTAAATCTCAAAAACTGAGTCTCAATATTAAGGAAAAAAAAGTTTTAAGTATCAAAAAATCTTTTATCTTTTTGTAATTATTTTTAAGGGAAACTGATTGAAAAGTTATAGTCCACTTTAATTAACAATTAAACTCGTCAAATAAATGTAAAGACTGATTTTTGAAACTTTTCAACATAGATACTTTACTTTAATTTCAATTTTCCGTTTTTTACATATTCAACAACGCCATTAAATTGAATTACTATTGCTTTTTCAATTTACTTCTTTTAGTTTAAAATGTATTATTTACTGTTCCAGATCTGTATTTTCCTTTAACTTAAAGAAATTAGGTGCAATCCCTATATGTGGTCTACCCGAGTAATAAACATTTATTTTTTAATAGTTTTTTTAAATTAAAGGTTAAGGAAAATAGCAGTGTATGGTATACGGCTATTATTAATAATAGCTGTTTATTGCTTTTAATAATAAAATTAATATAGGGTTGGGAGTGACTTTGTTGGTTCACCCAACACTAACTTTATTTTAAGGTTAAGAACCACTGCCCGCCATACCATGCACTAATGTTTTTTAAGGGTTAATGACACTGTCCTGTTTTTTTAAGGTAAATTGTCATTGTACTGTATACTCTACATTACACTGATGCTTTTTTTTTAAAAAAAAAACAAGAATAAAGTGCTATTTCCCTCTTTATTCTATATACTAATGTTTTTCTTAATCTATCCAAACCATTTATTAATAACAGACCATAATGAACTACATAGTTAAATTGTATAGTGGGAAGTAACGAAATTTGTAACAATAAAAGTTCGTTTAGTTCTGACAACAAAAAAAAAACCTTGCAAATATTATTCATTGGCTCGCAAAAGAAAGATTCATATTTCACCTATCGAGAATTAATATAAGCAAATAAGTACATAGTTGATTTTAACAAAGTTGATAATTTGTTTTATTATCCATCAAAAAAGCACCAATATGTCAATGAACAGTTATATTTTTTTAGCTTAAAATGTTAGAGTATTTTCTACTGAGTATTTTAATTAGTATCTGAACCTACATATTCATTTTGGTCAAATCTGAAAAATAAAACCCAGAACATTTGAAAATGCGAATATGTAAGAAACCAAAAATTAAATCCACTCTCACTAGTGGAATATGAGTTTGTACTTGCATATTTCCTTTATTTTTGATAACGCCATTTTAAATCTCGAAATAGTTGAAATTTTTATTTTATTTAAAAAGTCTGATCAGCTGGTGGCAGGAGGCGGCTAGTATTGAATAAAATTTAATTTTATTGTTTTATATATTTTTTTTTGAAATACGTTTTTCACTAAAACCCCCTAAATATCGTAAATTTTACTTAAAGATAAATGTTTAATGCAAAAATATACCATCATAACAAAAAATCATTAAAAAAGGTGATGTTATGAAAAAATTTAAATGAACTGATTTTTTTTATAATTTACATAAAATAAACTTAATTTTCTAGCAAAAAGAATCTAATTCAAATTTTACCATGTCCTATAATTTATAATATTATTTATACTAGTTATAATAAATATAACTAGTCATATATGAGTGTATTCAGATATTAGGACTATCATTCCTTAGCTCTACACAAACTTCAAGCACCATCATTCATAAATGTTGAAAGTTTTTTAACGCATAAAATTTCATAATTTGAAAGGAAATGCAATGAAAACACGGATAATGTTATTTTCAACGAATTCATTCGTTATGACGTCATCATACTTCGAAAACAAATTAAAATTTTTACATCATGAATTTTTACGACATCATTAATTTTTAAGTTTGAATTGTAAGACACCAAAATTCAGGAAAATATTTTTATTTCCAATTTAAAATTTACATCACATAATGTTGTTTTAGATATTAAAGCATGAAAATTTTGAAAAATTCCAATTTGCACAGAAAATTTAAAAATATATCATGGCATAAAATAAGTTAACTTCATATGGCAACATTGAAATTCTTTCAAAATATGTCAGTACACAGACATTTTATTAAATTACTTTTGCATAGCATTATCATGCACTTTAGTCAGTCGTTTACAAGTGCTCATTAACCTTTAGCACAATTTAAGATAAGCACACTTAAAACAATTTAAATTGTTTCCTTGCGCTCTATACTTGCACAATTTAAATTATACTCGGAACGTTGTTTTCCGCCTTCATAGTCTTAATGATCACTTCCCTAATTATACATAAAACCTTTACGATTTCTGAAATTTTATTCAAAAAGTGCTTACATAAAACGATTTGCAGCGAATAAAAGGCAGAGAGTAATTGAAATAATCCCGGTAAAATCATGTTTTTTTATAGCTGTTGCAGAGCAAAATGTTTTTCTTTTATAGCTGTTTGTAAAATCTCTTGAAGAGCATAAATGTTTTTTTTTAAAGCTGTTAGTAAAATATCTTGAGGAGCAAAATGTTTCTTTAAAGTTATTTGAAACCTCTTGGAGAGCAAAAATTTTTTGAGCTGTTAGTAAAATCTCTTGAAGAGCAAAATGTTTCTTTAAGGCTGTTTGTAAAACCTCTTGGAGTGCAAAATGTTTCTTTAAAGCTGTTTGTAAAATCTCTTGAAGAGCAAAATGCTTTTGTTTTTTTAAAGCTGTTTGTAAAATCTCTCGAAGAGCAAAATGTTTCTCTAAAGATGTTTGTAAAATCTCTTCTCTCGAAGAGCAAAATGCTTCTTTAAAGCTGTTTGTAAAATCTCGTGAAGAGCATACTTGTTCTTTAAATCTGTTTGTAAAATGTCTTGAATTGCAAAATGTTTGTATAGCTGTCTGGTCTTTTTTAATTCTTTGTAAGCTCTCTTGAAAGTCAAAAATCGTTTTAGAGATAGCGTTGCATTCCATCAGATCTTCTGCATGACTTCTTTTCTGATGCATTTTGTCATATAATTGTTCGAATCTGTGAGTGGCTCTAAGTTAACTTTGAATGTGACCTCTTTGGAACTCATCCAGCTGTATGTATTGTCAAAGTAGACCACAACTGCAAAAAATGATTATTAAAATTTTTTGAATTTCTGAACACTAATTTCTTGATTACACTTGATATTAATTCATATACAATCAGAAAAAATACAAATATTTCGCTATTCTTTTGGGATTATATAAAAAACATCAAACTTTTAAAACCTTATAACTCCGCAATTTTTTTTTCTAAAAAAAGGAAGTTTTTATTTTTTTATTTTTAGTTAGAAGTGAACGTTCCTGCAAAAACATTAAAATTTTATTACGATTAGTTTTCCTTTTGAATTGAAACATCGTAAATATTACTACAAAACTAATTCGAAATTCATACAAGTGAGACGTCATACTCATTTTCAAACATAAAAGAAAATGGCAATAATATTATAATTCCTTTGCAATTAGTTTTCGCTAAACTCAATTAAATTTCAAAAAAATCATGTACTTTGACACAAAATAACTAAAAAATTAATAACCGCATCATACCCTTTCTATTTTAAAATATTCCTTAAGCTTTGTTTTAGAAATGACCAAAATTTCATATTGTTTTATTTGATACTTTTTAAGTTATGTCAGAGCTATCTTCCGATGCTTCGTCCCATGGCCTAAAATAATATAAATAAGGCCTAAAGTAATTTGCAATAATTTTTAAGAAATATATTTCAACTGTTAGGAATAGAAATTTAAAGAAGTTATTGGCAAAGCTGGCACAAATCTGTCCTAGCTACAGTTTTGAATTAAAAACTTATAAAGCAAAGCTATTACATTTCTGAATCGATATATTCTGAATTATTTATATTTGAGGTAGATACGAACGAGTTATAACTGGAAAAACGGAGTTTTTCTACTACTTTAAATTTTTTGCAACACCCTAGAAATTATATTTAAACATTTTACACTTTAAAAAACGTATGTTTAGATGACCAGCATACTATGTGTTAAGAATATTGCAGTCCTATGTTATGCTTAGTATCTTTCTCATCAAAAATATTCAAGTTGTTTTTTAGAAAAAAGTCATTAATTTTTAAAATATTATTCAGTTTTTAGATGCCGTGGAGACAAGGCGTCTTAGATTTGTAGCCCCGCCACTCATGAATTAAGTGATTTCAAGTGTTTATTGCTGGTTTGGAACCAAGTTAAATGAAATGATTTTTCATAGCAATATTATTCCCAAATGAATAATGCACACTATTTTCTTGTACCTGCTTTCCCAAAATTTTACAAAGCTTGCATTTCTTCCCTGCAAAAGCAAAGTAATTTTTCGTCAAAGAAAGTTTTAAATTTTGACTATAGAATCAACTTTTTTACCATTCCAATTGATTGATGATGAAAATGACAATTTAAATGAAATAAAAAAAGATGAACATTTGAAAGGGCAAGTAAAGAAAATAAGACTCAAAATTTTGATTTCTCTCTCTCTCTTTTTTCACAGTGATTGTAAGAGATATCTGTGCAATATTGCCTAAAAGGTTTGACTTCCTTTATGAGAAAACAAATTGAGGCACTAACATTGTGATGTTGCTATTATCTACAATATTAGTAAATTGCTAATATTGAGATGGTCTGACGCTGACTAATATCAAGGTAACATCTGATGTTACCTTGATATTAGTCTGATCCCTTACCGTTCTTATGATCAGTAGGTAAAAGTTATTCAAGTGCTTACGTGTGCCCGTGAACCAGGTGACAAAACCACCGCTTTCTGGACAGAGATGGCATTGGCTTCGAATGATCGGCACCAGTTGCATCAGTTTCGAGACGTCTTCACCTTTCCTTTTCTGCTTCTCGATGACAACATCGTCGTCCACAAATAAACACACTCCTATGTCGTTTTCTTTAGCCTGTAATAAACAAACAATAGTTCATTCTTCAAAGTGGCAACCAGAGAAATGAACGTAAGAAAACATCTAAATATTAATAACGCTTTTCAACGTCGAGGAACCGACTACATTGATATTGAACTGATTTTCTGGAACTTTTTGAATCATTAAGACAACATTACGTCATCTAACGTTTTCTTTTCACGTTTTTGAAACTAGATAAATGATAACACAGTATTCCATAGTTGAAGAAACATTTAAATGATAACAAGTAATCGAGATTATAATCGTTATCAGTGAAATGATAAAAAGTGCAGTGTTAACCATTTTTAAGTGCAATCATTATAATTTTAAATACACTTTGCCTACAAGAGAAGTTTTTCATGGCAAATTGAAATTCATAGTTAATATTATAATCATTATCAGTGTAATGATAAAAAGTGCAAGGATAATTATTTTCAAGTATAATCATTTTCAAATATAATCATTATAAGTTTAAATACACTTTCCCCCACATGAGAAGCTTTTCGAGGCAAATTGTAATTCATAATTGACATTATTAGTGTAATGATAAAAAGTGTAATGATAACCATTTTCAAGTATAATCATTATAGGTATAAATAGCTCACAAGAGCAGCTTTTTATAGCAAATTCTCTTTCACATCGATTAGTTTTAAAAAACAAAGTAAATTCAAGTAAACCTAGAAGTGTCAAAAGCTGAATAACTGTTATTAAAATGCAAGCAAATTATTGCAGGATTATTTCTCATTCGTGTAATCCTGAATATTTCTGGCATAGTTTGTTTCCATTTTAATATTTTGACATTTTTTTTCTGCACTTGAAGTTTCGTTGTTTACCTTATTTCACTTTCCTCTAAATTTTAAATTACTTATGTAGGTGAAAGAGAATTGGCCATGATGGTTTTCTCCACGGTATAGTGCCCTCTTAAAATAAGGAGATGAATGATAATGATAAGAAAAAACGATAATAAGAGTAAAACAAATTTATTCTAAGAAAGTATGCTTCGGACTGTCTGAATTTTGAAACTTATTTGAAATGTTCGCACTAATTAGTAGGCCCATCTGGGGGCCTTTTAGGGGAACCGGGTTCGAATCCCAGTCGATACGAATTCCACATTCGGCTTGCACCGACCACAGTGCTGACGTGAAATATCCTCAGTGGTAGACGGATCATGGGTTAGAGTCCCCTTGCCGTCAGGCTAACCGTGGGAGGTTCTCGTGGTCTTCCTCTTCATATAACGCAAATGCGGATTAGCTCCATCGAAAAAGTCCTCCACGAAGGCAAAATTTCTCCCAATACTCGATCTAGGAGTTCCCTTGTCTTCTGGATTGGGTTCAAAATTACAAGGCTACGGAGTTGAACATTAGTAGTTGTAAACCCATGAAAAATTGGGTTGGCTGTTCAACCACGGTTATAAAATAAAATAAAATCAAAATCAAGAGAAAAAAGAAACAGCCAAGTACATTATAGCAATTACAAAGAATGCAGCATACCCTTCGTTTCTTCCATTTTTCTTTAATTGATTTCAAAAACATAGTAATTGGTATTTAATTCTAATATCGTTAGTACGAATGTTGATGTTTTGTTAAAGGAAAAGGCTTGGAAGCGAAAACATTAAATAACTGTATTTCTTTAAAGAAAGATGGAACAAAATTCTTACACAAATATTTTCAGAAAGGTGCGTATACGAATTTTTGTAACGCTACTAGGAGTTAAGTCTGGCAATACGGCTTGTTGAATTCCATATGCATAATATTTTCAAATATTATTAATTCTTGCAATGTGACAGATAACCCAAGAAAATGCTTGATTCGCGAAAATGCTCGAAAAATTCGCTCATAGGCATTGCGTATAAAACGTTTCTCGCAGTTTTCGTTCTTAAAATATCTTTTTAGAATCATTATCAAAAATAAAGTTATAAAAACTTACATTTTAAGATTAACAAATTTATACTTACGTAAAAATATAATGATAAATATATCTGACGAATCATTATCATGATCCATCAGAAATTATCATTACCAGAGTGAGAACTGATTAAACCAAATTTATTTGTATGCAGAGAGCTGTATTTTGTTGCAGACATTTTAGTGTCTTACCTGAAACTGATAAGTGATGAGCGTCCTCTCCTGGACCATAGGAAACCGAAAACTGACTGAAGATCCGGCAGCGACAGTACAGTGGATCACTCCGTCTTCTGTCGGATCCAATAAATTATCTGGATAGTAGGACTGAGGAATCTCACCACCAAGACCAACCTGCGGAAAAATTATACTTGGTTTAAACATATCGCTTATAATAGTAAGAGATGTAATGCTCCTTAGCAACAAAGTACACCCTATTGGGCAAAATGTAATTGTAAACAATTATTTAGTAATCAAAATTACTTATTAGTAAGACCCGGATTTTGATGCCATTTGCATTTTTGGACATTTTTTGTCCTTTAGAGCATTTTTGTGGATTTATAGGGCAGTTTTTCTTTTTAATTTTGGGGCCTATTTTGCATTTTAAAGCATTTTTTAAGCTTTTTGTTAATTTTTTCCAATTTTCATTATTTAATACATTTTTATTACATGAAATGCAATATTTGTCTTATAATTTTAAATTTCATAATATTGTAGCTCTCAATACCACCTGCATGTCATTATGTTATTGATTGATATAAAATCTTTAGAAGTAATTCTTTGGTTCTAACTTTCCCATTTTCCCTGATTTGTATAGTTTAGAACATCGCAATTTTCTAGGAAATTTTCTTATCCAGGAATAAAAATTTACTTTCAGACAAGAGACGCTCGTTTACATTTCAAAATATAAAAAAAAACATTTAATAATCCTATGTAATTCTGATATTTAGTAATATTATGAGATAGAAATTGTTATTTTCATTAAAGTTTCCATACAAAAATGAAAATGTTTTGGATTCAATATATTTTCCTCTTTTTTTGTTATTTTAGGATGTAAAGCATATTTTTCAAACTTTAATGAACGTAGAACAAGTATTGCACTGCTTTATATTTTTTGAAATGACTCATAATAATTTTAAAGAGTAAAACATTGTTTTAGTTTAATATTATACGTTAATAATAAAACGAATATTAAAATACTTTAAATTATTATTATGTAAATACATTACAAATGCCTGGTAGTGAAAATAAAAAGAAAAACAGCAGCGGTCGCCATAGCAACGCATGCGCACTGTTTACTTTTACTTTTGAACACAGTTGAAAAGTGTATGAACGCCATCAATTCCAAAGCAAGACCCATTTTACCAATTGGTAAAAAAAAAAAATTTACACCGTGTAACTGATACACTTTACAAAACAACAAAATGCAACCTATTGGGCAAAATGCAATTCCAAACAATTACTCGGTAATTAAAATTACTTATTAGTCACCAAACTTAAAGTCATATTACGTTTTTAAAAAGTTAGGAATAACGTTAGTGAAATATCAGCTTCAGAATTCATAGCAACAAACAGGAAGCTGTTTTACGAAGAAAAAAAATTGACACCACGCAGCTGGTACATTTTACAAGACTGTGCAAGTCAATTAGAAAACAAAACTTACTAATTGTTTGCCTAAAGGATCATCTCCTTTCTTCCTGCCTCCCAAATAGACTGGAAGAATATCTGCGTCTATGTGTTTCAAAAGCTCTTCCTGAAAACCATCTGTAAAAAGAATATATTGCATACATTTATTACGCATCAGAGAAGAAATGAAGACAAATTTATTACTGAGGATATTTTAGGTGGATGATTTAGAATGATGGACCAGGATGCGCAACTACAAACTACGTAGTCCCGCAGAGGACTGATCGTGAAGACACGGTTCCCAGTGGAACACCGAAGTCAAGCATCACTGCCTGCTGTCGGTAAGCGAGTGGGTGATCACTTTGAACGGCCTACGTAAGGACCGAGGGTACGCGGTATATGTTCTCGTTAAACTGTTCTACCGTAAAGTGCTCGACTTCGCGCGCTGGTCGCTTGGCTACCAAAGCGACGGAGGTGCCATCTCCTCTGCAGAGGATCGAAATTGTGATGGCATGTCTTTGAATGATCCTCAGCGATGTTTCCCAGTCAGTCGCCAATAGCCCATTGTGCAGCTCTAGAGTGACGTAAATAAAATATCTATGAATAAATGTGTAATTTATGAAGAGCCTTGGTGAAACAGGGTGGACAATTGTTTAATGTGGGGGACGCAGCTTTCCACCCTTTGAGAAAAGTTTCTCAGGCAATTTATTCGCACTCACTACTTTTACTTACTTTTCGGAAATATCAGGTTGACCTCGTTTTATTTAATAAGAATACTTTTTGAAAATAAAAAGGATTATTATCTGTGAAAATGTTTCTTTCGATTGAAAGTGGAAAAGCAGTGGCTCCATCTGTGACCAAGAATATGATTTTTCCATACGCATGCGTTACAACCCGTTTCAAAGGGAAGACTCATTCTCATACCTTTCATCCATCCGCAGATCGTAATTTTGACCTGAACCAGAGAATAATCTATCTCCAATTCAGTACCTACAGAGGTATTGATTTGTTAAGGGAACTTGGAGCACTTTGTGACCCCGACAGATTTAGCGTGCACCAGTCAACATTTAATACACTGGGATTTTTCTACCGGCTGGACTCTAACTCCTGTTCATATCATTTAAAACTACAATGTAGAATTTGACCACCTTTTGAAATGGTGTCAAAATGTATGCTTACCACTGTTATAAATTTTGATCTTTCGATAGAGAGAGTCTTGAATCACTGGTTTAATCACTTTAAGACTGGAGTGAAATAGAGGAGGAGCTGAAAAATACATTAAAAAAATCTCTTTAACTCAGTTAAATTCATGTTAAACCGAATATAATACGCTAGCTTACAATAATATCTTAATAGTTAATTTGAAAAAAATGGCTAAATAACAATATATTTAACTGTTTTTTTTACCATATTTAAACAAAAACAGTCAAATAACCATAAATAAGATGGTAATGAGACTATTAACAGAGAGAAAAATCGTTTATTAACTATTTTTAACAAAACGGTTAAATAACGAGAATTTTATTGCACCAAATAAGTCCACCTTATGAAGCAACATAGTTTCTTGCAACTGCGTACATATTATAGCCGAGAGAGCTAATCTGTCAATCACATGACCGACAGAACGGGGGTTCGAGCCCAAGCGTTGACACCTTCATTCCCTTTAACACACACGAAGAATTTATAGTTACCTACACTCTCCAATGCCCATTATCTAGCGAAGAGCCTAGTTCATATGTCAGTTAAATTTCTTTCTTTACTATTTTGAAACCATGGTAGCTGTAAATGGTTAAAAAAAAGTGTAGTTTTGTATTCATGATTTTACAGCCATACTAGTTATAAACGGTTTAAAAACCGTAAAAGTGAAAAATATTCTTTACCGTAAACTTTACGGTTAATCGGGTGGACAGACTGCTGTTGGTTATTTTACCATAATTTTAGAATGAAAAATCTAACAATGTACTTATCACAAAAAGATTATGAAATAGGTTCACGCAATTAGCAATACGCTAGTTTGGGTAAGCTTTCCTTAAAAAACATGCAATACATACTTAGATTAATATCTAAACTCTTTGCCTCAGAAAAACTTCGTTTTCCATGAAGTGTTTTATGATTTTCTAGGAACCATTTATTTGGTAAAGGCTGACGCACCTGTTAAATTTAGTAGCAAAAGCTAGTATATAAACCTAAAGCTTTGTTAAAAACATATTGCTAAATAATTGCAACCATAAAAAATAAATCTATATCTTTTTTTTTCCAATGGCTGGCACTGAATTTGAATCTTTGCCTATACTATGCCAGAATTGTTGCTCATTTCGCGTTACCCAGTGGGCCCCTGTGAACCAAAGTCACGGAGGCGAGCAACATTGCCCACGCCCACCCGTTTATAGGGTGGGCGTGGGCAATGTACAGGGCAATGAATAGGGAGAAAGTACACTTTTCCATACACACACACAACAGAGGACAGCACAAAGAGAGAGAGAGAAACATCCATGTCCAGAGCGGGATTCGAACCCGCAGCCTATGGCTTCGCAGTCAGGCACGCTAATCGCTCGGCCACCTGGCCGGCATAAATATATATCTAATGATTTATGTAAAATGCATAAGGGTTAAATTTATGTACAGTAATTAAATTTTTAAAAAAAATCGCGCATTTAAAAAATTTTTTTGAAAAACTATTATTCCCGTTATAAGACCCGTGTTACAATCCCGGGACATTTTTAATATCAGCGATGTATATAAATATGGAACTTCGCGAGTTTTGGAATAAATAAGATTTTTTAAAGAATTTCTATAAATATTTCCAGACATATAGGCATATTCTTAGAAATTTTGATGATCATATTTTAATACAAAAAGTTACAAACTAATCCCGCATTATAAAAAATTTAAAAAATTTCCAATTGCCCGCTCTAAATGCCATTTTGTTAAAAAGGAAGAAAAAAACACTCTTTCAACTCTTACATTGAGAGTGAGTTCCATACACACGTATTTTAACTCTCGTAATTAAACCAAACAAAACTTTTTCGGTACAGTAAAGAGGCTCCATTAATATTAGCTTAATTAAAATAGCTGATCTGGACATGGTAACAAATTACTTGCGAATCGCACTTGAAAATAAAAGAAACTACACTATCATATGATACTACTAGCTGCGAAACTTCATTTTTTGCAATACCCGCCTGGGGAATGATCTACGTCAGTGGTTCCCAACCTTTTGTGGACCATCGCCCCCCTCTTGGGGTTGGCTGACACCTATCGCCCCTTTCTCTTTTTGCTCAAAAAACCATTCATTGTTGCTTGTGAGCAACCAAACACTGAAAATATGCTATGTTATTTGATTTTAATTTAAATTGTAATGCAAATAAGGAGGCACATTTATCCTGTCATTTTTATTAATTAAAAAAAATTGTGCATCTTTTTTTTTTCAAAAAGAAATGATATTTAAAACGGAATAATCAAAACAAAAGTACATTTTTTTAAATTCATATTTTAATGTAATCAAGAAAAAGTTAAAACGTTAACAACTAAAATTTGAGAAAAAAAATGAAGAGGGAGAAAGTACATTTTTACCACTTCAATGACTGCCCTGTGCTTGGTGTATTTCAAGTTAAAGCTTGAATGTCAGGTTTTATGCTCGTCAGATTTAAACGCGGGTCTCCTTTGAAGCAAATGTCCAACCTATCTCTTTGCTTTGTGAGCAGCTGGAAGACAGAACTAAATCCTCTCTCCACTAAATATGTTGACGGGAACGAGATGAGAAGCGGCTCAGTTTGTTTCCACAATTGTGGATAAGTGTCCATAAGCTTTACCCAAGCTAACTCGTAACCGTATTTTTTAAAGACGACTTTAGCCTCACAGTCATACTTCAAATCTAAAATCTCAGTCTACAAAGAGGAAGTGAGCTTATCCACAACTTCAAAAGAGAAAGGATCGAAAATCCAATCCGGAATTTCTAATTTCATCAAATCTTTAAATCTTGATTCCATAACTGATCAAGGTGATCAGTAAAAATTAAGATTTTATTTTCGAGAATCTCGATATCTGCCATTGAACACTTTTTAAGAGTTGGAAATTGCATTAGCTCTTTGCGACCAATGTTTGACTTGTAGATATCAAACTTGGCGATGAATGAAGATATGATTCCCTTAGCCTTGATAATGTTCATTTTATTTCCTTGAAGTTTTACGTTGATTTCCTTCATTTTTTCAAAACTATGAGTGAGGTACGCAGTTTCCAACTTGCGTTGCTTCAAACTCTCACTTAAAACAGGATCAGTGGTGTCGAGAAACTCAGTAACCGAATCCAGCAATTCGAAGAAACGGCTCAGTTTCCTTTTGAAAGCCATCTCACAGCTGTATGTAGGAGCAGGAATTCGAAATCTTCATCATTTTCATGGCAAAGTTCTCGGAACAAACGGTTATTAGGAGAATTAGCTTTTATTTTATTGATGCCAGAAATAACCAATTTTTCGCAGCCAAAAGTTGACGATGAATGACATAATGAATGGTGAGATAACTTCCGGTACTTCTTTTTTAAGGTGACCCAGAAACCCAGTATGACAACCAGACATGGTTGGAGCACCATCTGTTGCACAAGCACTTACATTTGTGAGGGGAATTTCTTTTACCTCAAAATAATCTTTGACCAATTTAAAAATCGACGATCCTTTTGTATCTGTGTTCAAAGTTCTTGTAAACAACATTTCCTCGTTAATCTCCTTACTCTCATTTATGAATCTCACGTAAGCTAAAACAGCTTTGTTATCTATCACAGTTGATTCATCAATCTGCAACGCAAATTTACCTTCTTTCAGAAATTTGATGAGTTTTGATTCAACGTCGGCGGCCATCTCATCAATACGCCTGGAAACAGTATTATTGCTCAGAGGAACAGAGTGACTTATCAGATTTCCGCCTGCGATACCAAAACGTATGACGAAAACGATCCTGCACTTGAATTTTTTTTAATTTTTAACTATCATAATTCTTTGTCTACACCAGAACCATAGGTTTCATATATATTTTCAATTTCAATCTCAAATAGCTTTTATTATTAATATTATTAGCAATTTTTATCTTTTGAGTACTCGTCGCCCCCTGATCGCCCCCCTAAGGATTATCGCCCCCTTAAGAAGCTCCATCGCCCCCTTTGGGGCGATCGCCCCCAGGTTGGGAACCACTGATCTACGTTATACAGGTATCTGAAGGGAAGATTCGTTGAACACTTTTCCAGGGGCACCCTATTAGGTGGGCCATTGTTGCTCCCACAGTAAGGACAGATAGTTCAGAGAATGAAAGCCCAGCCCGGGATTCGAACCCAGAACCTTTCTGATGCAAGGCTAGTTCCCTGATCCTTAGGCAAGCTGGTCGGCCTAGCTGCAAAACTATCATTCATAAAATTAAGAAGTGGAAGACTAAATGTAATTCATCTCAAATTCATTCAAAAGAAGAAAGAAAAAATCCCGTCAGTGAGATTATGAGGACTTTGCAGTCGCTAAGAAAAGGAAAGCGTTAATTGGCGAAAACGATTGTGAAGTTTACTCACCATTGACGACGTAGACTACTTTTATAAGATCGTGGAAATGATCCTGAAGAAGATTCAGAGCGACCAAACCAGTATCTAAGGCTGAAAAGCATAAAAATAAATAAATAGAGGCAAATTTTAAAGTTGCAGTAAACTCTGTAAGTTGCAAATAAAGAATGTTTGGGGGGAAAAAAGAAAAAAAAAGTCTATGATATAATGTCTTGGTAGATAAATGTTGCCCACCTGAACACATATACAAAAATTAAAAATTTTTTTGAGTGTGTCTTTTTTATATCAATGAAATTATAAATTTTTGTATATGTTACCATGAAAGTTCAAAAGCTGACGAATGTCCAAATTCATATAGCCAATTTAGCCGAAATGTTCCTAAATAATTATCAACTCAGAAAGTTGAGAACAATCCGGCTTGTAAAAGCAAAGGTAAATCTGGTTGAAATATCCAATAAAAACAGGATGTTTATGTGAAATTATTTCAGTTGAGTTGCGCTTATCAGCTGAGAAATCGGCTATAAAATTTGATTCATTAGCTTGTCTCATAGACTTTTGATTAAAAGTATGCTTTTGTGAAAATCAAATGATGACTCAATTTTAAAAAGTAGAGAAATTATTTTAACAAATTGCGGTCGTATTAAGTTCATACATGGCTGTCATTCTGGTCGGAATTAATTTTCGTTGAACGAACAGTAAGTAATTCATAATATGCAAGATTATGAAGAAAAATTCAAATTTATTAATAAACTTTAGATATATGTAACACAATATGTTTTAATTTTACGTGAACATCATATTTTACAGTTCTCCATCGAGCAGTATTTTTCAAAGCAGTCTCCAATGTGAAGCCTTGGCTTTTGATAACATGTGTCGCAAAAATAATAAGTTTGGTGTCTTCCGCCTTTGATTTTTCTGTTTGAACATACAGAACAATATTTACTCTTTACGTCCTCACAGTGCCGCAATATATATAGTTTTCTATTAAGCTGTTTCTAACATCTTTGCTGTGGTGGCTGAGAGCCGACATACGACTGGGACGGTAAAAAAGCGTTGGTGGCTGAGAGTAGACATACGACAGCAAAGGGTTAATAGTGGGTCAACTCCACTTCAAAAAAATGGAATTAACCTCGCTTTTATTTTTATGCAGGTCTTTTCTAGTTTGTTCTAAAACTATATTTTTTCTCCCTCTAAATAGGAAGCATTTAAAACCATACAATTAAGATTAAGAGAAGAGACTACTCTTTAGATTTGAAAGCTCAGTATCTATGAATGAACAGGAGCATGTTAATTACTGCATTCCAAAGAAAATTCATTTAAACCTTAGACTATAATTACATTTGTATATAATTTAGACTATATATATGCTATATAATTTAGACTATAATTATATTTGTACATAATAAGGTACAGATTTGCAAATGTTTCCGCTTAGCTGACCCATGATAAGGTTTAATCAAGTATAGTATGAACGATAATTTGTTTCATCACTTAGCACCCTTAATATGATTTATTTTGCAGCCGGCGTAAAAGTGAGTGAGTGATTTAAATTTTTGACGCAAGAGCCATGATTTGACTATGCAGCGCCTAAAACTTGGTTAAAAGTTCATATAGCCTGTTTAAAATTTAAGCACTCGGTCCAAATTTATATGACTTGGTCAAATTAAAAAAAAACAAGGTTGAGTTTGAAAAAGAACTTAACTAAATCAAAACACCCAAATTAAACTAAAGTAGTTTGGCTAAAATCAATATTACTAGGTAAAAATTGGCCAATTTACTTAAAGTTTGAACTAAATCAAATTATAAAATCCGATGTCTAAAGCCTAACTTAATTGGTAAGAAATTAAATTAGGATGAGGTGTATCTCCAAGTAAAATTGCTTAAGTTGGTAAGTAAACAGTTAAAATACTGCTGTCTTTTAAGTTTAAATTTCGAGCACTGGGTCAGAAAATGCTTCACCGTAAGCTATTATATCATAATTATTGTTGCACAGTTCAAAATATAAATTTAATATGTGGGAGATAATAGAGGGCGGTTTTTTGATAGAATTACTAAATGCATCGATGCAATTCTTCGAATCAGAAAAACCGACTTAAAAACAGGCCACCCATTTTGGAATTAAATTGGTTACATGAATACACAAGTGGGCGACCTATGTGCGAACGTTGTTTGCCTTAGTTTTGTATGGGTTACATGGTTAAACTTCTTAACCTTGTAGTTATGAAGAAACTCCCAGTTGGCAAGGGAATCTCGAGACCAAGCATTGGGTCAACTAGTCTTAGTGGAGGATTTTTTGAAGGAACTAACCCGCATTTCAGTTACATTCTGAGGTAAATCTTCCACGACTAGCCACATGACAAGGGAATTCCAATTTAAGATCAGTCTATTTGTATCAGCCAGCACTGCATGGCCAGGAGCAAAATCCTGCCATCGCCGAGATTCAAACCTCATTGGGATCCCTTAAGCAACGAGAATTTTAAGGTAACAGCATATCTGAACCCTATTAAAATTCAACTCGTTCCAGAATTTCCAACTATGTTCAGAAAACAAAACTTATATAAAGTTTTCTTATATCGTTACTGTCTGCAACATCATTATAGTTACCTGGTTTGTGCAAAAAGACCGATAGATTGATGTGTGCCAAATCCAAAATGTACACCATTTGTATCTGGCTTTCTCTCTGCATATTAAAAAAAACTACGTTAAAATTTCACTAGGACACATAAGAAATAAAACGATGAACAAAGTGAATAAAGCACAAATAAAAGTACATAAATGGACATGCTATAGATTCAGTTCCCTAAACAAGAACCTTCCTCAGTGTTTAAACGCCACATGATGGTAGAGAAAGTAAACAAAAATTGCAAAGTAGTTGAACCTTTAAGACATTAATAGGAAATTTGTCTCTATTGTTTAAACTACTTTGTACATGTTTGTCTCCACCATCATGATCCTGATATTCTTATCTTTCACCGTCTTCACAAAGAAGAGCGTCCCGCAGTGGACTGATCGTTAAGACACGGTTCCCAGCAGATCACTGAAGTCAAGCATCACTGGCTGCGATCAGTGTGCGGGTGGGTGACCACTTGGATCAGTCTGCGTAGGGACCGAGGGTGTTCGGTATTGGTCCTCGTTAAACTGTTCGACCGTAAAGTGCTCGACTTCGCGTGCATTTCGTCGGGATACCGAAGCAGGGGTGCCATCCCCTCTGCAAAGGATCAAAATTGTGATGGCATGTCTTCGGATCATCCTGAGGAATGTTTCCCAGACCGTCGCCAATAGCCCATTGTATAGCTCTAGTGTGACGTAAATGAACCAACAACAATACAAAAATGAGCACATAAAATTTCGAACAAGTGTTTGGCAAAATTGCAAACAGAAGTGTTTTTACAATCTTTATAGTTGCTGTCAAATTTAAGCTTGTATACTTATATTTATTTCTAAAAATTACTTATGGCCAAAGTTTTTCATCTGACTGCAATACTAATTTTGTGCCTATCACCTTTTTCTTACATAATTTCAAATCCTGTTTGTTGCTTTATTTATTAACAGTGTATATTAAGAATTAATAATAAAACAGATTTAAATATTATTGCATTTTCTAATATTTTTTTATTTTCTAATATTATATTTTCCGATGGTTAGAAGTACATGTTTTTATTAGGTTGTAATGAACTAGGACTAAGAAAGCTAAAAAACATTTCAAACCATGCTTCATTCAAGTTAAATTTTAAAACTGGTTGATTTTAAAATTTGATTTTAAAATAATTTGAAAATAATTCGGTCGTGAGGTACGGATTATTTTCTTTCAACGCCAACGATTACGATTTGCGATTTAAAAAAAACAACTTATTTTTTATGTTGAATCTCTATTGGTTCAACTATTAGTAATTGTATACCTCTGAAATTTTACATTTTATTTTATAACCGTCGTTGAACAGTCGACCCACATTTTGGGTTTACGACTACTTTTTGGGTTATGTTCAACTCCATAGCCTTGTTATTTTGAAACCAATCCAGAAGACAAGGGAACTCTTGAATCAAATATTGGGAGAAATTTACCTTCATGGAGGACTTTTTCATGGAACTCACCAGCATTTGTGCTACATGGAAAGGAAAACTACGAAAACCACCCACGGTTAGCCTGACAGCAAGGGGACTCTAACCCATGATCCGTTTACCACTGAGTATATTTTACGACACCACAGTGGTCGGTGCAAAATGGGTGCGGAATTCGTATCGACCAGCCATCGTTGGGATTTGAACCCAGTTCACCTCATTGGAAAGCGAACGTTCTATCCCCTGAGCCACCGCGGCTCCTGCCTCAGAAATTATAAAATTCTAACAAAAAAATTCGAATAAATTATAATTCTGTGTTATAAATTGTAATAAAAGTGTCTTCAAATGGCGATCGTGAGGTTCGAAAGATTCTTTCAGTGCCAACGACTATACTATTACGATTTCAGCCTCGCTGGCTCCCGGGATGGAGCGTTCGCCTTCCTATGAGGGGAACAGGGTAAGAATCCCGGCTATGGTTGGTCGATACGAATTCCGCATCCGGCTGGCACTGAACACATTGCTGACGTAAAATATCCTCAGTGGTAAGCGGATCATGGGTTAGACTGCCCTTGCAGTCAGGCTAACCGTGGGAGGTTTTCATGATTTGCCTCTCCATGTTACGAAAATGCGAGTTAATTCCATCAAAGAGTCCTCCATGAAAGAAATTTCTCCCAATATTAGATCCAAGAGTTCCCTTTTCTTCTGAATTGGGTTCAACGTGACAAGGCTACGCAGTTGAACATTGGTAGTCGTAACCCAAAAATTGGGCCAGCTGTTCAACGACGGATATAAAATATAAAAAAATTTCAGAGGTATAAAATTTTTATGAGTTGAACCAAAAGTGATTTAACATAAAAATTTAATAAAATTTTTTATCGCAAATTGTAATAGTGTAGTTGTTGGAGTTGAAAGAAATTATTACATCACGATCGCCGAGTGAAGAAATTCTTTTGAAAATGCATAACAATTTTTGTTTGAATTTTACAATTTCAGAGGTATACAATTTTTATGAGTTGAACCAGAAGTGATTTAACATAAAAATTTAATAACATTTTTTATCGCAAATTGTAATAGTGTAGTTGTTGGAGTCGAAAGAAATTATTACATCACGATCGCCGAGTGAAGAAATTCTTTTGAAAATGCATAACAATTTTTGTTTGAATTTTACAATTTCAAAGGTATACAATTTTTATGGGTTGAACCAAAAGTGATTTAACATAAAAAAATTAATTAATTTTTTTATCACCAGTCGTAATAATATAGTCGCCCTTGTCCTATTAAAACAAAGAAATTATATGTTTTAAGAAGGTCGGCGAACGGGAAATAAAATGCTTGCGAGAGAAGGTCTACATCTGCACCAGTTTGGACAGACAGGTTTCTTCTTCCTTCGTATATTTTAATTTTTACCATTCTCATCTTGCATTCCGGAAGATAAAAATATTTTTAAAAATATTTTATTTTAATAATTTTTCTTCTTCTCTTTTTATTAATCTTTATTGTATTATTTTCCATGTTTTCCCAATATTTTAAACTTATTTTATGAATACTACATACTTGTAGCATATGCGCAGTAAATATAACTTATTAATTTTCGTAATTTTTCCTTTTTTATATATATTTTTATATTTTTAATATATTTAATATAATTTAATATATTTAATATATTTAATATATTTAATTTAATATATTTAATATATTTAATATAATTATTTATATATTTTTAATTTTTCCTTTTCTATATATATATATATTCTTTCATAAAAATAAGACAATGAAATGTATGAATACCTTCTCACACAGCTTGAGATCGTTTTCCAAAAACCAAAGGAAAACTTTTAAGTGTTCTACCGTGGAAATGCAATGGACATACCCTGTGAAGCAAAAACAAAGATAGCAATTCAAAAATGGTGGACAACTGGCATTTCATACCTAATCATTTTAAAGCATTTCACATAATTTGAGCCAAAAAAATATTTTTGATTTTATAATTGAAAAAAACAACAGACAACCCTGAATAACCTATAATTTTATGATGGCATCCTCACACTCTATTACTCAATCATAATGGTTCGAGCAGGCGACAACAAATATGCTAATTACTTAGTGCAAACGAAATTTTAAGTTACGAAATCAGACACAAAAACGTACTTTCTCCGAATGAACATATAATTTTTTCGGCGGAATCTGATTTCTGACTCCCAAAATATAGAGCGTAACCGCAATTTGGAAAATAGGGTCCGAATAGTTTGGTCAGGAGGGCGGTCTAAAGTTTGGGCCCCTTAATGTTAATTTTACTTTTTGCGTAGTTCACTATATCTCGAGAACTTTTTGAGCGAATTGAAACATTTTTGCACACAATTATAAAACTCGTTTATTCAAAATTAATTCGACGCAAAAGAATAACTTTTAGAAAATATTTATTATTATTTTATTTTAATAGTCCGAAAAAAATTGAATTGCAAGGTTTAAAATTTATACATCATTTAAAAAAAAAATGCAATTTCACATGATCACAAAAATACGAAACTTGAGCGAAATCGGTTGAATAGTTCTTGAGAAATCGAACTTTAAAAAGACGAATTTTTAAACATTCGATTTCTCCGAAACTATTCGACCGATTTTATTTTCCTTTTGCGCTCTCTACGTTCTATTTATTATTCTACGCATGTTTCTGACGTTGCAGAGCAAAGTTGAGTTATAAAAAGAATGTAATGGAATTGAAATAGTCCAAAAACACTAATTAATAATTGAATGAATACTCAATATTAAAATACTTCCTCCTTCTGTTTTTTTCCCCTTTAATCTCTATAAAAGGCTGTCATCTTGAGAAACGATGTTTGTTATCTCTCTTTAATAATGACGCTTTCTATGATGTGGCAAAACACAATCGAAATACTTAAAATTATCGAAAGAAAATGAAAAACATGATAATAATCACAAAATTGTCCATTTGATATTATTGATGTCAATCCATTTTATTATATTCAACGTTTGCAGAAGGCCTCGGATTTGATTGTAAATGCTAAATAAAATAGACATCTGGTTATAGAGACTTTTTCCCCATTGCCAATACATTGAAACATAAAAAATCTCTTATTGATTGTTTAAAATCCAATAAAAATCTGTACTCTCATCTAATTCGTCATCTCCACCGGTTGCATTTCATTTTCTAGATTTAGTTGCGTTCACTGAAACCTAGTATATAAACAATAATTTTGAAACAGTGCTATGCGAACTGTGCATAAAAAAGGAATTTTTCTACAACTCAAAAATTATGGGAAATAATGCCACCAAAAAAATTTTAGTATATTTTAAAAGATAGTAATCAAATCTTTTTTTAAAAAAAGTGATATTTTTAATTTTTATTTAAAAAAAAAAAATTTTTTGAGTGAAAAAAAATATTGGGAAATTAAAAAATTTATTTTCATCTTTTTTTAAATTTTTATCAATAATAGCAAACAAGCACTTGGGTTAAATACATAATAATTTTTATTTTTTTATTTTCAAGTTCGACTGAAAAGCAGTTGATGGAAATCATGGTTTTTTTCTCCAAATTTTCCTAAACAATTGTAAAATGTCCCTTATCATTATATTTCCCCAAAGCATATTTATTATATATACAGATTTCTAATTTATTACTAATGATATTAACCAACTTGTTGTTGATTTTAAGTAAATTTAAATACCTTAAAGAACCTTCACCGTCTTTCACCCTTACTAGTAATGCGAAACATAGGGGAGAGATGAATTTAAATATTCCTTTAGATTAAGAAAGAGTTTAGATTAGATATGTTTACTATGAAATTTCAAATGATGATTTATTTTTCAAAATATGAAACAGCAACCAAATTATAATAGGATTAGCTGCTGTATGGAGAAATAATTTTGCCATAATTTATTTTCTATGGGATGCCTGTAAGTGACGTAGTGTGGGTATCTCGATCCTGATTGGTTGTTGAAACGTGGTATTTAGTTACGTTAGCAACTGTTCTTTCCATTCTATTTCGAGTAAGGCAAGCCCATCTGGTATCAATTCTCTTAAGTGACACATTCTAGATTCTTTCACAAAGATTCTTTCTCAAAGATTTCCATTCTTTTACTGTATATTTACACAGAGACTTAACACAAAGACAGGCATGAAGCCATGTGGAACATAAACGAACTAATTATGCATCGAAGTTGCCAGGTGCACAAAGCAAAAAAAAAAGGCAGGTTACATTGAAATACATAAACAATTAATAAATCTTAGTTACGTAAAGGAAGTAGACGAAGAATAATTATATTTTAACTCATTCGATGAGCGATATGGTACAGCATTCAATTAACGTATCGTTAATTGACATTTTAACTTATGTAGAGAAAATTAGTTCAACTTTAATACGCCATTTTGCTGATAAAGATCAGCTGGCATTACGTCATAGGTCACATGTGTGGGTATGGGAGATCTCCTTCTTCTTGAAGTGCAAGTACCGAATTCAATATATTGTAAAATTAAACATTTTTATTAAAAAAAAAAATTTCTTCTTGTTACCTGCATTTGTTTTTTTCTATATTTTAAACTACTGAGGCAGCTGAACGGTGGTAATATAGCGTTCTCTTTTATAGTGGGTGAAAAGGAACTCACCTTTTACATCACACAGCCCCATGTTCATTACTCGTACTAGACTACCTTCTTTATCACATCCTATCACACTAGAACAACTGTAATCCTTTGAAATCTAAACAACACAGAAGACAACATAATTTATCATTCTCTATTTGCTATGAAAATATTATTTATTCTTTGAAATATAACTCACACTTGTGACATCGTAGTCATTTACCAATTCCTGGATATTCAAAAATTTCTTCATGTTGTAGTCCTGAAAAAAAATAATTTACTGTTTATTGTAAGAAAATCGTTTTAAAACATGAAATCATAACAGTCTTCATAATTTGTAGATAATATTCATATCAACATTAACTGTAGTTATTCTATTATCCTCAACTTTGTAGACGAGATCAAGGCTCTAAAATAATTGTGTTGGCCATCTTTTGCCAACATCCAAAGACACAAATGTACTAATGAATTGTATTTCATTCTATAACCGTCGTTGAACAGCCGACCTAATTTTTGTGTTTACGACTACCAATGTTCAACTCCGTAGCCTTGTAATTTTGAACACAATCCAGAAGACAAGGGAACTCCTGGATCAAGTATTGGGAGAAATTTGTCTTCGTGGAAAACTTTTTGATGGAACTAATCCGTATTTGCGTTACATAAAAAGGAAAGCCATAAAAACCTTCTGGTTAGACTGATGGCAAGGGAACTCTAACCCATGATTCGTCTGCCACTGAGGATATTTTTAATCAGCACTGTGGTCAGTGTGAGCCTGGTGCGGGATTCGTATTTACCAGCCATCGATGTGATTTGAACCCGGGTCGCCTCATTGGGAGGAAAGTGATCTATCTCGTGAGCCACCGTGGCACTGGACCAAGTATTGGGAGAAATTTGCCTTCGTGTATATCATAAAATTGTATTGTGTCATACAAGTAGTAAAGTACGTAAACGAACGTAAAAGAACTCAGGCTTAATGCTCTCATTTCATATCGCTTACAAAATAGGCGCACAACTCCGAACTTACCCAACATGTGGAGCTGACACTCAGTAGTAGTAGTAGTTTATTTGCATAGCAATAGAGCTGCGCTATGGGCTATTGGCGACGTTCTGAGAAGCATCCCTAAGGATGATACGAAGGTTTTTCCTCACAATTTTGATCATTTGCAGAAAAGACTCGCCCCTCCCCCCTATGACAGCAGCCCGACGACCTGCGTCTGAAGTCGAGCACTTTACCGTAGAACAGTTAAGCGAGGGCCAGTACTGCGCACTCTCGGTCCCTTCGCAAGCTGATCAGAGTGGTCACTTCCTAACACACTGATCACAGCAAGTGATGCTTGACTTCTGTGGTCTACTAGGAACCGTGTCTTAACGATTAGTTCACTACCGGACTCATAGCCACTTTAATATGTTCTAACAAGGGTAGCATGACTGTATCCACTACCATTCAGAAGCTTAAGGATTTTCAGTATGTGAGCCAGCGTAAGGAAAAAAGATTATTCATAAGAAAGACATCCAGGTAGCTAAAATTCCAGGTAAGCACTGGCATGCATAAATATGTTAAATATAACGAGCAGGGTATGATTTCTGTATCGTTAATTGATCCAAAATGGCTGCCAAGATTTGACATGAACCAAGTTGTGACACGCAAAAAAAATTGAGAAGGCAGAAAACTTAACTAGTAAGTCAATTTTTTTAAATTTAAATCTGAGAATGAGAATCAGTAATTACGAATGCAAAATACATCTGAAATATTGGTTATTGCAGTTAACGCGACAAGATATAGATTATAGATTAACTCTATCAGAAAATTTATACATAAATAATAACATTTTTATCTGAGAGTAACGAAGTCTTATACACAACTTAGATTATGTATAATTTAGGTTCTTAGACTAAAAAAAATTTAATAGATAAAATAAAAATGAATTGAATGATATTTTGAAGACAAGTAATAAACTGTCGGGGTATATTTTGAACCTAATTAGGGATGATCACCCAGGTAAGTGAACTTATTTATAAAACTCAGATCAAAATATACATAAATATTAATTTTCAATACATCCGATGAATTTCATTACCCACAAAATGCGCTTCCTCGCAACTTTAATTAAGTAAACACAATAAGTAAGGGTTGAAAACTATTTATGAAAATTATAAAAATAAAATCTATTTTTGTTTTGGACATCTTCTCAGTGTCTATTTTGCTAAAGTAAAAAAAAAATTTTATTTTATTTTATAACAAATATATTGAATTAACGCTTTTAAGAATATAATTACAAGAAGAAAAAAGTTCAATAAATCCAGCTGACACAATAATGAACTCTGAAAATGCAATAAAAGGAAAACCCATTTGTAAAGATTTCATTTCGTGTCACTCATTTATTTCCCTTTCATAAAGTTCGAGGAGTTTAGAAACATTCCTTTTGTTCGCATATGAATGAACACTTCCTCTACACTTTGTTTTTTTTTTCTTACCTTTACTAGCGACAAAAATCAATTGAAAAATAACCGTTCAATTGAAGCATTTTAAACGTCCACTTATTATGACACCTTTAATTACCTCTCATTTCTCTAACAAAAATATATTTTTCTTTGTTGGAAAAAAAAAACACTGACTCTAAGCCTTCCTCTTGAAGTAAAAATAATTTATAAGATTTTATTTCAAATAACAGATTATTTTTTACTCTCATCTTAAATAATAAGCAAAGGATTAGAATTTTTTTTTTTTTGGAGCTGTACCAGCGATCGCCAATCTGTTGGCCGAAGTGTGTCACGGGCAGACTGGTCGTGGACACGAGTCGAGAGTTTAAGCCAACAGAGATCTTTTTGTCAAACACGATGTACTCAAAACTAGTCAAATAGCTGTTTTTCGGAACAATTCGCTAGTATTAGTAATTAACAATATGAGTGAGTGGCCGGGATAGCCTGGTTGGCAGGGTGCTGGACTCAAGCTGCTGAGAACGGGAATTCGAATCCGACCGGCTGTAAACTGCCCGTGTAGTAAATGGTGAATGGTTAACTCTGTTGGGTTACAAAGTCTTCCACGTTCCCATAACAAATTATATCTCTGGGGATACTGAATTGCAGATCAATCGCTCTTTAGTTCAGGTCAAAATTGCGATCTGTGAACTAATGAAGGTATGTGAGAATGGATGAACCCTATAAACGGGTGTGACGTATGGGTGAGGCAGAAGTCGTTTTCTCGGACATAAATAGCGCCACTGGAAAACAAGAACAGTGGCACCCCTTTGCCTTAATGGCCTACAACAACAACAACTTATGAGTGAGTTAGTGTTATAAATTGATGGCTCAAGAGATTTGGCTAAACCGCGCCTAAAACTAAGTTAAAACTTCATCTAATTTAATTGAAATTTAAGGTTGAAATCTAAGCAGAAGGTTAAATTAAAAATACTTGCTATCAACCAAATTAAACTGAAGTAACTCTGCTAATATGATTAAAATAGGTGACTATTTGTCATAGTTTTTTTTTCCGTAGGATTTAATTGTATGGGGGCCTGAAAGATTTTAACGTCTTTAAGGAAATTGAATAGTCAAAAAAGTGTTTTCCTTTTTTGCAAGTGTTAAGCAGATGGCATTCTATAGTGTGTGTTTGTTTCCCTCATTTCATTGAGTTGAAAGCTTCATTTTAAAATGTGTACAAACTTAACATTAACATTTTTTTTCAAAATTAGAAATATATTAAAATTATCTGCAAACTTAAACATTATGCATAGTTTCAAACAAAGAAAAATTGCAAAAATAATAACAAATAAAAATGTTTAATAAAATAGTTTTTTTTTAAACATTCATATTTGTTCATTATTTTTACAATTGATCCTCAAAGAAACAAACATTTGCAACGTTATGATACGGGAACCATTGATGTGCACATAACCTAGATAAAAGATAATTCCGCACTTTCACCTGATCATTCTTGTTACTTTGCAGATTAACTAGATAATACGCTACATTATTGGTTCTCGAGCTTTAACGGCAACATGCATACATTAACCACAATTATTATGTATCTCTTTATTTACACTTCTTGATTAAATTTTCTTGGCCCACCTAGGGTTAAACAATGTTGAAATCATAGAAATTCCATTTGATTTAGAGCTTGGATTAATTTTCCGAATGAATTATCTGTTTTATATTTTTCATTGTATGGTAGCCTAAGCTAATTATTATCTTAAGGTTTTGGCTTTGATTTAAACATACTTCGATCTTATATTAATTTTGGTTTATATATTGAAGTAACTCTTTCATTTCTACAAATATCATTATTAAAAAATAATAATTTTTTCATGAATGAAATTTAAAAAAATTAAAGAGCTATCTTACCGTTTTCAGTAGTTTCTCGGCATCTTTAACATTCAACAATCTTGCTAAAAATAGAATAAAATAATACTGATGTAAAGTAAGCAATTTTAAAACGTTTTTAACTACAACTAACAAGAAAGTAATTTTTATGTAAATATTTCATTCATTATTATTTTTTCGTATAAAATGATTGAGAGCTTTTGAATTGCATATTGTGCAAACTTTTAGTTCATTTTAAAGTAAATTATTATAAAAGACAAAAGACAAAATTTTAGTAAAATCGTGTTAATAGCTTGTGAGTAATGAAAAAATCGTGTATTTAAACTCTAATTTTTTAAGAAACATTAGTCAGGTTTATCAAGATTTAAATTGCTCGATTTATTTTTAAAAAGAAATAACTCATTTAAGTTTCGTATTTTTTAAAAAAAAATCATTGATTGAAATCGAAAATAGTTTTCAATACAATGTTGACAGGCATGGTTGCTCGAATATTTTGCTATCAAAAGTTTTATCTGGGAAAATAATAAAAGTGGAATGTATGCAAAATATTATTTTATTTTCAAATTGGAGTAAAAATTTGGCTAATGGGGAGGAAAAGTGAAGGGTGAGAATTTTAAATTCTCATTTTCCATTAGCTGTATAAAAACTGCTTGCTGTTTTATAAACCTATTTCAATTATACCCATTTTGCATTAGATTTAGAAACAGCTACGTTTGAAACTTATTTGATATTAAAGACTTGCTCTGCCAAGTAAATTAATTTTATTTATGTATCTTGATTTCTTCTGTTGACGAATTAGAATTTTGTCTTTCGCGAAAACAAAAATAAGAATGATTAAATTTGTTCAGGAATCAGTTTGTTACAATAATTTCAATCATTTTCGATAAAAATGTTAAGTATTTTAATTATAAGATTGTCACTAAATATAATATTAAGCAATATTAATACATTTTGCTACAGCTTTGGTTGGAAATATAAGGGGAAAAAAGAAAAATAATCAGATTTTAGAAAAAAATCGCGTTTATATACTACAAAAAAAATTATTTAAAAGAAAAAACCGTAATTTTTGGAACAATTTAATTAACAATTGGATTGAAATATAACTTCTGATTTAAATTTTTAAAAAATCTCATCGTTTTTATTTATTTATTTATTTTAAATTTTGACTCTTGTTAACCCTGCAGTTAGACTTCAGATTTTGAACGGATTTGATTTGTCATTTGACACTGGAGAATTAAATATCGTGTAAATATTTGTATATCTTATAATTTTTTTGACCGTCATTAAAATAAACATTAAAAAATAAACCAGAATTATGTTTAAATAAAGGAGATTTATAATAGCTATATTCTCTTGAATTCCCCATTTAGAAAGAAGCATGTTTATTTAGAAAAAATATATTTTTTTTGTATCACACAAATTCTTAAGGTCCGTAATTAACCAATTTGTTATTTGCTTTATAAATAATGTTTACCTCGTAGGAAGCTTAATATGTGTGCATCGGTGTATGCAGATTGAAGATTTGGTCCCAAGCTCTCTTTCAACTGAAAAAGAAGCAAGTACGGAAATAGTATTACAAAACAAATTCATAGTAAACATTTGTTTCATTAATTCAAAATATAAAATGAGTTTTCTGAATTGTTACAAAATTTCCCTTATATATTTTAGATAATTTTAATTTATAAATTCGATAGACCAAATACTTTATTAATATTATCAAACATTTAAAATGTACTTTTTTTTAAATATTTTTCCACAATTTATCAGAAAATATTTAAGCAGCATGAAATATAACTACATATCAAAGTTTGTACGAACTAGTTTACTAATTATTTATAAAAAATTACTTTTGTATCCAAATATTTAAACTTAAAATTCACTCGATTATTAAAATTTTTTAAGTTATAAATATCTCTCATAACAAGGCAAACCGTCCATTTTCATTTAAGCACATAATTAATTTTGAGAAAAAAATTATGATTAGAAAAATACTGCAAATATTTAGCCTAGTTTTCCAGAAAAAAATTTTATTTTATTTTTTTTTTTTTTTTAATAGTATTTTGTCTCCAAGGATGTGAAGATTTCTTTTTTTCTTTTTTCTTCCTTAAATCTATTTTTCAACTTTTCTTTCACGGCCACTCAGTCTTTCTCTCCGTCCATTGTTCTGAAGTGCTATGTCGAATCTCTCCAAAAGAACTCCAGATGCATTTATGCGGGCTGTGGATAGAGAATCGGACTGCGATCCGGAGATATGGAGTTTGATCCTCGACTCCGTTAAGACGCACCGAGTTCCTGCGATATACATGCTCGTAAAATCTTTGGAATAGATAGTCCTGTGGCCGGTCGCTGAGTAGTACCATGGGTACAGGGATCTGGCAAAAATTTCCTTCCACTTCAGATCTATGTCTAGTATTGAGGAAATAGTTTCACTGATGAGTGGTGCAGCCATCTATCTTTGGGGTTCCTAACTAAGACGTTCTTTCACCCTTACGGTGCTCTTGTCAAACGAAAAGTGTCCCTTCTTGGCTTAATTCGCAAAAAGACATTGACTGGTGAGTTTGGACTGTCCAAGTGTCATTATTAGAAACAACAACTTCGGCAGCATTTGTGCTAGAGCTCTGAAGTGCGGATATCGATTATAAAAATGAATTTTTGATCTCGTTATTTTAACCCTGTTGATCAATTTAACCTAAGAATCGTTTAAAAAATTTTATTAGTCAATGGAGGAAAGATATTTTAAAAATGTATTTTTCTCCTTGGTTTAGCATTTATCACTGTTATAAATTTAGCGGTAGACGATTCTGTTTCTTATTATTTAAAAAATGCCAGTGATGTTTGCTGATGATTACAGCTCTGTTTAATCAAAAAAGGAGGTAACTGAAATTAATGTATCGTATGCCTTGCGTGTCAATAATTGTTAGGTGAATCTTCACATCCCATCCTTCGAAATTAATAAGTTTCCTTTGGCACTTAAAGGATACAAACTTTTTATCTCCTAACATTTAATTTTAATAACAATCAGGAGATTTTTGAAATTGATTTTCGTATACATTTCAAATATTTTTGAAAAATTAAGCATGAATTAAATTCTTTTTTTAGATTATTATTGGTTTCCTTTAATCAGAGTCCTTTGCGAAAACACTTCCTTAATACAGTTGCAGACTATTCTCTATTCTAACTAGATTGACTTTTATTCTATGCTGAGTTTTAAATTTTATCCGTCACCTCTTTCCTGTATTTTTAAAATTGAACAACGATAAAATAGGAATAATGATGTCAGGTCGTAGCGTCATTTAAACCTATCAGACGCTAGTTTTCACTGTTTAAAGATTTTTGGACTTTGTCAACATCAAAATTTTCCCATTGCAAACATCAAAAGCGTACATGAAAAATAAATAAATTCAATGCAAAATTTACAGATCCACAATTTGTAGATTCTATTCATCGTCATCATGATCATCATAGTTGGCTAGACAGCCCAATGTGGGCCAATGCCTTCCTCTGAAGACTACGCCATAACGACTTCCAATTTATCTTTGATCTCAAATTCTTTTCATTAATTGCAAGAAAATCAGACTCCACTGAATCAAGTGCTACGCGAAACGTAGTTTGAGAAAAATTACTGCAAGATGGATTTTAATAAATATATGGCGTACTTCAGCAAGTTTCTTTCTTTCCTCCTCTTCAATTTCTTTTGCCTTGTCTATTTTGGGCTCCTTTTTTCTTCCTGAAATCGAAAACAAAATACTTTAAACAGAGTGTTCCGCTATCCTTAACCTACATTTTTATAATGAGATATAACGCTAATATTATGGATACGCTAACATAATGAGATAATATTAACTCTTCCATTTAAAACAAAATATGAAAAATGAAACAGTTATTTACTCCATGCAAAATTTACGCTACTTTCGAAAACATAATATAATTTTGTCAGAAAAATAGTACTAATAATAATACATATTACACATTCGCAAATCCATAGATTCAATCTATCGATCTAGATTCTATCTATAGATCTTCAGCTATATATAAAATATAAATTTAAACCTCGATGGTCCAATGATTAAGGCCTTTCACTATTATTGTGAAAAACCAGGGTTCTATTCCCAGTGGGGGCACACCCAGCTACGGAGTTTTTATGAGAAGTATAGACAGGCCGGAGTACAATTCTGATCATAGTAGTCGCATTATGTTGCTGAACTTGAAATGGTAGAGCCTTAACTACTACGACCTCACTAACAAATTGAATGTTACAGGAGTTGTTTACTTTGTAATATAAAAGTTAAAAAGTTTTACTATATACTTTACAACATAATCGTTAAAATATATCGTTTTAAATGCTGAATACATGTAAACTATTGGTCTGGAATAACCAGCACTTAAAAACAAATTTTCAAAAATACAATATTTGTTCGTACGACGAAATGAATTATCATTTTTAGTTTGAGGAGTTAGTATATCCTTATAAGATCTCATCAAAACTCTTTTTCGCTAAAACGAAATAGTTTGCATGTCATGTTGTTGTTGTTTTTAAAACCACTTCCCAATTAGCCAGCAAGCCTGCTTGGTGGATCCAAGCGAATTTAAGGCAGAGGGTGCGTTTCTTGTTTTTCAGTTTTCACTATCCAAGAAAACGTCTTCAGCCTCACACACACACATTACAACCCGTTTTAAGGGTCGGGCCCATTTCTGCATTCATCATTCACAAATCGTAATTTTGGCATGAACCAGAGAAGGATCAATCTCTAACTCAGCACCCCCAGAGGTATCGATTAGTTATGGGAACTTAGCAGATTTTGTGACCCTGTATATGGTGTAAACTTGGAAAGCTAATTTTGAAATACTTCTTAATATGTTTTTAATGCATGACATTTCAATCAATATGGAAGAGTCGTGGTAGCTCAGGGGATAGAGCTCTCGCTTTCCAATGAGGTGAACCTATTGATGTAAAATATCTTCAGTAGTAGACGGATCATGGGTTAGAGTCCCTTTGCTCTAGGCTAACCGTGGGAGGTTTCCGTGGTTTTCCTCTCCATGTAACGCAAATGCGGGTTCCATCAAAAAGTCCTCCGCGAGGCCAAAATTTGTCAGAATACCTATCCAGGAGTTTCCTTGTCTTCTGGATTGGGTTCAAAATTACAAGGCTATGGAGTAGAACATTATTAGTCGTGAAACCAAAAAATTGGGTCGGCTATTCAAAGACGGTTATGAAAAAATCAATATAGAACTCTTAGACGTGACAAATAGATGTCTTAGACACTATTGAAATGTTTCTTAAGTATCAATGCCATATTGACTTCAAACTATGAAATTTTTTTTTAGTTAAGAGGTAGTATTAAACTCATTTTGTGAAACGTTAAAATGCATTTGATACTTCCTCTTTTTTAGCATTTTTTTAAACTTTTGTTTCAGTTTAATTTTTAGATATTTATATTTAATTCAAGTTAAAAGCCAATTTTTTTACAAGAAAAAAAATTAAACTACACACTTTATTGTCGAAATTAGATTTTTTTTTAACAAAAACATATTAAATCATTCAAGAAAAGTGAAAAATTTAAAACATCGGTTGAGTAGCATCTGAGAAAGTGGTCAAGTGGGAATAGAAAAAGAAAAGACTTCCACTTGGATTATTAAAAGCCTTCGGCTATAGAAGATTTCTGTTGACGTCATAAGGTTCATTTACACGTTATCTAAAAAATCGAATGTTATATTCCAAAGATGAAGTGTGAAATAAACACAAACATCAGGAGTAATATTCACATTCTATGACGTAAAAAGACATTCGACCAGTGGTCTATGCATAGAAATAAAAAAGAAGTTGACGACCTTCAATTTGGGGAAGTAGAATGAATTAATTCTAGATTCCACTCCGTTATATTCCTATTCTACCCTTTCAATTTTCAGGGAAAGCAAGTTTTTATTTACAGCGATAAAGGCTAAACAAACTATTGGTAAGCAAACTTTTCTCTCATTATACTCCAAGTTAAATACAATTATACTTTGTTTGCGTTAAAGATTTTTTACTCAAGTTTATGAAGAATTTTCTATTTTTCGAGGAGTGTAAGGCTTGTAAATAATTAATCTGTAATTCGATTTTTAAAAACAATACTGTTAAATAAGGAATTATAAAGAATTCGTTTTTATAGTTTTTTTAGTACAAAACCTTTCAATCGAATATATCAATAGATTATTTTTTGCAGAAGAAATTCTCTTATTAGATTCGATTCAGTTGATTAAAAAATATGCAAAATGTAATTTAATTAAAGAGCAATACATTGGGAGTGTGCGAGTTTGTCGCTCTAATTCTCGAACTTAACTTTCGAAATTAAACACTCTAACTCATGAGTTCTTATATTGTTTAGATGGATCTGTAGTGATTATTCACACAATTATGTAAATAAAAAGCATCTTTTAAAGTTTTTGTTACAAATTTCATTCTTAAATTAAATTTTTATATCCCGAATAAATGTAAATTTTCTTTATCTATAGAAATAAATAGGAAATGTAACTTTTGAGGAATAAGTTAAAAAGCTCAGAATAAGTTCTCATTCTACCATTAAAAATATTTTAAGTACCATTAGGGGCGCATAATTAATAATAATAGATAACTAATAGTTTAATTATCTTAACCTTATCAACTTTGATTGTCTTGTTGTAACTTAGACACTATTTTTTGTTCCAGTTTCGGAAGCTGAAATATTGAAATATTCTACCCAATGATATTGAAATAAATTTCAATTTATTTACTTATTTTATTTAATGTTTGTTGCTGTGAATCAATTTACATTTTTCAGAGATATTTGCGACAGAAATTTACATTTGTAAGCAGCATTAAAAGGTGGTTAAATCTTTTTACGCATTTTGTGATGTGAAGAATTAAATTTTTTTAAATAGATAATAAACAAATAACTTGTAACTTCTAAAAATTACATATCGAAATGAAAATGCTACATTTCTTCACTAATTGAGAAGTCTACTCCAATTTTGAACACTATCTGAAAAAAATATTTTAATAACCGTTTATGAATATGCAATTCTTGTAAAATTTAATGAGTTAATGTATCGAATGTACCGATGTAAAAAAATAAAAACTGTATTAAATGTTCACTTTATTCTTTATTATTTGCATTCTGCAAACATAAAATAAATTAGAGGCTTTTTGATTAGTTTATCTTACGCTCGTGTTCGATAACTTATTTCACGCGAACTTCTAATGTAATTTTACTTACTTAAACTTATTACACAGTATTATATTTGCAACAAATTTATAAACCGTTAGAGTCAACAAATAAATTAAACAGTCTCATATTGAAACAAATTATGAATAATTGTCTTTGATTTCTTTTTTAAAAAAGACTAATTCAATTTTCAAATCAATGATTTCCTTAAAGAAACCAATTGATTAATCAACGAGTGTCGTTTTTCAACAAGTCTTCACAAGTCACTGTTAAAATTCTGTGGTTCGGATGCCCCGATTTGGCTATTCATGCGCTAATAATTAGTCAAAAAATACTGATTGAATCAAAACCAATCGATATAGGAACGGTGCGAAAAAAAATGGACCACCCTGATAAACGTTTGATCTAAGGAACGAATTTTCAAGTTCTATGACTCAATTTTAATGATTCGATGGGATGACACTTCAAATATGCTAATTAATTAGTGACGATTTTTAAGTTGCGAAATAAGATCCAAAAAAGTATTCTCTCTGAATAAGCATATCCTTTTTTTTTAAATGATTTGGATTTCTGATTCTCAAAGTATTGGAGGTAGCAGCAATCAGGGAAATATGGCCCCCATAGTTTAATTAGAAGACTTAACATTTCAGATTTTTACTGAATTTTTTTAATTTCATGCGACGTTACCTCAAATTATGGAAAAATTCGAACTGAAGATACTTAATATTATTTTTAAATCAAAAAATAAAATTCTTAAAAATAAAACTTAATACGCTAGGGTGCAAAAATATTTTCCAAACAATTGCTCAAACAAAACGCAAGTTCTTCAGCTTTGAAGAACTCCACTTTGAAGAGTTCAATGAAATGTTCATCTCACTTTGAAGTGTTCAAGCACGGTTTGGATTCCTTCTCTTTTATCTCGTGTAATCAATTATGTACTTCAGAAATGTCAGTTTTGTGCTACATCTCGTGTATCAATCTTTGGTAGGTTTTGGTCTGTTTGAAAAGTAGTTAAGATTTCGAGTAAAGATTTTAAAGATGGATGCAATTGTTCATATACTTTGTTGGTAATTTATTTCCTTAAAAAATAAATAAAATTTCTTGCTTTATGAGCTTTTTCGAAAGCTTTTGTTCCCGATTTTACTTGGTGCTTGATATGATTGGTTTTATTTTATATCCGTCTTTGAACAGCCGACCCAATTTTGGGTTTACGACTACTAATGTTCAACTCTGTTGCCTTGCTGTTTTGAGCCAATCCAGAAGACAAGAAAACTCCTGGATGAGTACCTCCAGAGGTATTGATTTGTTGTGGGAACATGGAGGACTTTGCGACTCGACAGATTTAACGCGTATCAATCACCATTTGTTACACGGGGAGTCTTCGGCTGGCGGGGATCGAACCCACCAACTCTTGGACATGGGCCCAGTGCCCTACTAACCAGGCTATCCCGTCTTGATATGGATGGTTGAGCGTGTAAAGTTAAGCACAGATGGCGTTAGTGGTTAAAATTCGTCGTAAGACTTCCGGGTTACTACTTCCGATTGATGTTTACGCCTAAGCTTGAAAAAAGACGCCGTCAAATATTATTATACTTGTAGTGTTTAGAATATAAAGCGTTTTTTAAAGTTTAAATTACAAGAAACAAACTACATAAAAATTTAGAAGACTCCACAACCATGCTATACCCTGAAAGATGCAACCCAAAAAGTGATTATCTGTGATATTTTATACAGATATATCCAAATAAGGAATAACACTCAAAACATGGCAAACCTTGCACTTTATTAAGTTGTGATATTCTTCTCCTTCTCATTGGCACGACAGCCCAGGATGGGCCCTGGCCTTCTCAGCAAGCCTATGCCAAGACATTCTTCCCTTAGCCAAGGTTCTCCAGTTAATTATCTTTAAAACTTGTAGGTCCTTTTTAAGGCAGTCTAAAAATCTTAGGTTTGGTCGTCCTCTTTTTCTTGTACCTGTTGACCTGGCACTGAAGACTTTTTTGGTTCTCCAACTATCCTCCATTCGCACAATGTGGCCTGCCCATTTAATCCTTTGAATTTTGATAAATTTAATGACATCAGGTTCTTTATATGCTTTGTAAAGTTCCGTGTTTGATTTTCTAAAACACGTACCGTTTTTACTTATTCCACCAAAAATGCTTCTCAGTATTTTTCTCTCAAATCTAACTATCATATTTTCATCTCCACGGGTCATTGTCCAGGTCTGACATGTGTATGTAAGCACTGATCGTATAAGACATTTATAGAGTAACACTTTTGTTTTTCTTTCTATTAGGCTTGACTTAAAATATTTTCCTTGACCATAAAAACACTTATTGGCCATCGTGATTCTTGTGTGTATTTCTTGTGTAGTGTCGTTTTTGTTGTTAATCTTAGAACCCAAATAGGTAAAGCTATTAACGGTTTCGAATTTGTATGCTCCAATTTCAAACTGTGTTTCTTCATAGCCAGATTTTGTGCAGGGTATAAGTTGTGATGTTAATTTTCTTAAATTTGTTTTAGGTTCACAACCGGTTAGAATTTATAAACTACAGGAAACTATCATAAACTGTAAAATTGCGCACAAATTTTAGAAAAAATCACAGTAATAAAACTTCCTGGAATATTAAGCCTGTTCACACATCGCCTCATAAACGTAACATAAGCGGAGGGATACACCGGAAGTTTTCTATATTTCTTCCGGTTTTAGGAAGCTTGTTATTGATTACATTCAGTCAACCATCCATAAAATAAACTATGCAAAACTTATCCCTTAGATCAGCGGTTCCCAATTTTTTTTTCTACTATGGAACCCTAAATGATTGAGCATCTATTGGCTGAACCCTAATTATATTAATAGAATTTATTAGCAGCCATGAACCTATTAACCAAAGAAAAACTACTAATTATTTTAATAATATTTGACATTAATTTAATAGTATATGTGAAGATTGGAATTTTTTTCCGATAATTTTTTTTTCAATGAAACTCTTAAAATAATAGGTTTTATATCTGACGGTTTAACCCGCAGACCTGTAGTGGTATCTAGCTTAGTTCTGAATTTGATTTTGGTGCGTACATTAGAATAAAATTAAGCTGAATTATAGTTTTTTGATAAAGAACGTACTGAGAATGAGTACTGAGATACATAATTCGTTATTCTTGAATTTGGCCATTTTATTTTGAATTTAAAAGTTCGACGAGAAATACTGATACATTTTTTTTAATAAATTTTGCCAGTTCTTTTTTTTTTACTGGTAGTTTACATTAATAGCTTCAAAACATATCCGAACTATCAAAGAAATTCTGGTTTACTATTTTGATATTAATAAAATTGCGTCAAAGACAACAGTATTTTGGCTGCCATTACCCAGGGCTAAAGAGAATAGAAGGGCTAGTTCACTTCGCTCTTAGAGCTGAAGCTACGATTTCCCTCCTCATGACGTCACTGTGTCCACAGATCTGGTCGGAAATGCTTCCCTGAAGCG